TTTAAATATATGGTACGGGAATACTCTATCAAAATAGCAAGGCAAATAAACATAGATAGGAAAATTATGGAAGAACTACCAGACAGACGACTAGATACGTTAATCAGTCATAATGCATCACAGGACAAAATTGAAAAAGTAGAATCATAATCAAACAAACTACAAACACATAGACACAAGGGAGCGCTAATACGTAGTAGAATAGACATGATAGGCAACGAAGACCCCTCCCATTACAACACTATTTTGGAAAAAATACACTGCATCAGTAAACAGATATGTAGCATAACAGATGACAATGGGACTATAACAAATGATCTGGAAAGTATAAAACGTCAGTTTACTTTATACTATCAAAACCTCATCAATAAGGAAGATACAGACTATGAAATACAAGAACATTATCTTAATTACACAACAAGGCTAGACAACGATGACTGTACCAAAATCAACGCTCCAATTACTAAACAAGTTAATAAAAAGTCTAGTAACAATTTAAGCGCAATTTCCTTATGTTATCCATAACATTTTTTTATTTTTTGTGACCGAACGAAAGGATATTTTTTTGTGCTAAAAACCTACACGATGCTCAGTTTAAATTAAAAATATCATCCGAGGCCTACACGATGCTCAGTTTAAAAATTCTTAATTAATTTTTTGTGACCGAACGAAAGGATATTTTTGAAAACTTTCTTCGTCAATATTGTTCTAAATTATGGCAGGAATCGATTAGTAAATGTTTCAAGTCACTAAGTGGTCTCGTTGCCGAGATATGGGCCAAAAACTGCATTTTTTTGAGGTTTTTTGTCTTTTCCGGGAAATTCAGGAAGGAATTCCGGGAATTTTTTTAGCCCACAATCATCCTCGGAACTTGCTTAACATATTTGCTTTGGAACTAGTCCTCGATATTGCTTCGTTGAGGAGGAGTTACGACTTAAAGCTGCGGACACACATCCATTCATTCATTCATCCATCCAGAAATGACGAGTTAATAATCGCAATTGTCCGTATGGAAATTGCGCTAAAAAGAAATATCCAAGACGATAGTCGGACTAAAACTAAATAAATCTCCAGGACCAGACGGACTAACCAATGAATTTTATAAAACCTTCAAAAATGACTTAATAAATACTCCTTTTACACGCTACATTTCAAGACATACTTGAAAGAGAGGATTGTGCTACAGATTTTAACAGGGCATATATAACACTCATTCCCAAAAATGATACGGACAGGACCCCTACTAGAAAACATTAGACAGGACAACTCGATTAAACGACTGTACATTCCAAACACGGTAGGCAAGAAAATACTTGCATACGCAGACGACACTACTTTCTAAGTACAAACAGAAAAAGCAATACAGACTGTAATAGAAAAATTCAACAACTTTGGGACAGGAGCGGGGGAAAAATAAACGCAGAAAAATCAAAAGTAATGGGTATAGGCTAATGGAAAGGTAAAGATAACTATCACATAGACATAACAATAACTGACAAACTCAGAATTTATGGAATAACCTATACCAGCGATCTCACAAAAAACGACCAAAAAACTTGGACCACACTGAAAAATAAAATAAATCACAATCTGGAAAAATACCAATACTGCAATACAACCATTTTTGCCAGAGCTGCATTAGTAAACAGATATATCATTCCAAAAATAATTTTCGTAGCGACGAACTCTACAATACCCAACTCATTTATTAAAAAACAAACAAGCACATTAGAGAGTTCATTTACAAAAACACGATTAGAAACATTAGCCACAAAACCTTAATACAAAACAAATTAAATGGAGGTATAGGGCTACACGACATTCATACTAAAATAAACACCTTCCGATTAAAACATCTGGATAGAATAAGGATAGAACCACATTATCATCCATTAGCACAATACTACATAGGGTTAAACATAAAGAGCATTTTAAAATTAAACATCATAACACCACACTATGGTGGAAATGACATAGGCAGCTTTTATAAAGAAACGCTAGCAATATTCCAAGGAAACAAAAGCATTACTGGGAAAGACACAAAAAAAAATATACGACATCCTAATCAAACAACAAGCGACACCCTTATACACGAGAATTAGTTGGGACAGGGAACACAATATAATGGACATTAAAGATACATTTAGAAACCTACATAATAAACGCATTACACCAAAAGAAAGGGAAGTAGCATACAGACTGATTTTTAATACAACTCCAGTTTCACGAAATAGGCTACAAAGTCAAATCGAAATGTTAAAATAACATGTCAAACGTGTAAACAAAATATATAAGAAACTGAGAAACACATTTATTTAGATTGTATATTAGTACAGAAAGCAAAGCAAACACTTGCGAAAATATTAAACACCACCAATCAAACAGCCACAACAAATAAAGCAATCACACTTAATTTAATTAACACGACTAGACAAAGAACAGAAGACGAAAACAGACTAGTAGCAACGGCTATTTATAGATCGACTGTATCGCAAATTAGGAGTAAATTCAGATATTTTTTCACAAAATACACGGACATCGAGTTAAAAGAAATATTTCAAGCAAAGCTAAGACATAGACTGGGAACTCTCACTTAACTGGAAAAAAAATGTACAGGAAAGCAATAAATAAAGTATTAATTTTGTGACGTTGTGTGACAAGGAGGAAGAGGGGGGGGGGGTCAGATGGTGCGACGTCACACCATTTAATCAAGGGTACTTAAGTAGGATTAGTTCGTTTTGGTCATTCCATGCTGTTTCCGTGAAATGTATACTTTGGAACTTAACTAGACAGGTTTGTATTTGTTAGTCGATGCTCAGATTTTTATATATAACATACACAAATAACACACTGACGCACTTTCGCATTTGAGCGTTATATAATAAAACCACCCCTTTATATTAAAAAGTGAAAATATGTAGGCGTATAATAATTCTAGCAACATATCCTCCTCCCTCTATATAACCAGTGTTTCTTCCAGACTTTTTTCTCCGGGGGGGGGGGGGGGGCACTTGAAATTTTCGGGGGGGGGGGGCGGTAGACTTCTTCGGGGGGGGGGGGGGCGGACACTGTTAAAAAGTATATATTTTTTATATAAATGATATAAATTTCATTTCGTTCGGGGGGGGGGGGGGGTAGAATTTTTTTTTTTTGGGGGGGGGGGAGGGTCTATAACTCCTAAAACAATTTTGTACTATACTTTTTAAAGTTTATTTTTTGCTTATTTATTAGAAACAATTGAAAAACCTTATAAGACAGAATATATCACACAGCTGTGTCAACTTCCAATACTAAATTTAGTAAACATAAGAATCAATAAAACCCACACTTTCAAATATTTTATTTAATGAAATCGCAATAAATGAAGGGAGGTAACAAAAATTGACCGAAACAACACTGATTATCGCCCTTTCGCACTCAGGCCATACCTGTTACAATGGGAGGGATGTGAGGTTGACCATCTGATCTTTAAGAGTGCTTGACTAGTATTTTGAATGACGCCACCGGCCACCTTGCTTGTCTCTAGTAGGCTACATTGAGAGTGTGACGAGACATTTGACTGGACATTGCTGTCTAGTCAGCTACGCTACAGGCATCGCGTCTTTGAGAGACACGTATGACACTGACGCGAATCGTCGAGTTCATTAAAGGTTTTATTGTATCATCTTCTTATACTATCATCTCACGTGACTCGAGTCAATGTTGGTTTGGTCGACCTCCACACAAGCCGTCTTTAGCTATGATTTGTGTTTGTCTTCGTAAGACGTATTTTATCATTGCATGCGTGTGTTGGAACGACAACTAGCGTTGGGGATCTTGGATCAGCCTATCTTCGCTCAGTTCTCAAACATTATTCAAACTGTGGATCACAGTGAGGAAATTCATCAGTAAGATTTTACGGTTCGATTTTACTTAAGAAAAAAAATAACAACCAGAACTATTAAGATCTGGCATTTTAAATTTTAATACAACGCTGCATTGAATTGAAACAGATTTATGTTACCTTAGCTTAGCATGGGTTTAGCTTCGATTGTGTCCGGTCGCTTAGTTTGTCTTAATAATGGCCCATGAAGGGAGCGTTATTTGGTTCATGAATCGAAAGTTAATGCCATAGATATTGGAAGAAAAATGTTAAGTAATTTTAATTAAAGCAGTTTTTAATTAACTAACACATAACTTTTGTGAGGAGGAGAATGGGCTGTGTGATGTAGCTCTGACCTTGGCCTATAATCATAGCCTGGGCACATTTTTACTTCCTTTTAGTCGCACGCTTAGCGACATCTGCAACACATTCCTTTGTTGAAATGATAGTGTGCGAAGGCTTATTGTTTACTATTATTGGCAAGTCATGAGGGGGGGGGGGGGAGAAAAAAAAGAAGGGTAGCTTTCAAGGTTACTAACATTATTTTAATGGCTCATATAAAGCATGTCATTTTAAAAATTCGCTTTGAGATTTATGTAACAGTGGGCTATATTTTGCCATTATGTATTCTTTATGATGTAATATCTGTTAACTAATCACTAAACCTAGATCATAGAGATGCCTAATTTAGTCCTTTTGTTGCTGGGATACAAAAAAATCTATTTTCCAAAGTTTGCTTGCTGATAGTGATAGCTGCACATGTTTTATACCAAATTAATATAGATTACGCTTGGTGTGTAAAATAATCAACCAGTTTTATTATTTATTAAATAATTATATAATAATTATATATATAATATAATAATTATATACATGAAAATGTCGAAACTTTTGAAGGAACTTTAAAATAAAAAATTACTCCTGGCTTAATCCAAGACAAACATTGCTTCAACATTAACGCTTACCCACAAATAAATTATTATAAATTATTTTTGTTGATTATCATGTACAAAATGTATGTGTATAATTTTTTTTTGAAGTTATATTAACAAAAACATAGCTTTATTGAATGTCAAAATTATTTGGTTTCTTTTCAGTTCCATATTTTGAAGCCAAATATAATTTATTTACAATATGGCTGACGGGCAGTAATAATAATACATAATTCTAACTCCATACTTAATACTTAGTCAATAGTAAAGCAAAAGTAATATTGTTTTTAAGTTTCCCGGATAGCACCTTTGTGTATTTTAATAAAAGGTAACTACTTAAAATAAAAATGGGTTGTTATATTTAGGATATAACGTGTATTAAAGCTTCAATTCGAATTAATTTACTAAAAATTTGGATTGTCCAGGACTGCATTTTTGGTTTTATCGTTTTAGGAATTTAGGTGCGTAAAATCGGCCGAGGCTAGTAAAAAGTTGCCCCATTGTTAAGTTTTAGTAGAAGTATATTGTGATATAAACCAAAATCAATGGCTAAATATATCAATATAGGCCAGAAATTAACTTTAGACATAAGTGTTTGCATATAAACAGCGGCCATCTGTTTCCCATCATGAATCTAACTATAATTTTAGTAGGCCTAATGAATTTTTTTTTACATTTTACTACCTTAAGTGATAGATTACCGAATTTTTTAATCATTCCTTATTCTTCAAGTAAAAAATGTTAAGATTTTAAAAAATTCCATTATCCAACACTTAGTGGTAGGAACTAAACTCCCATCAAACATATTGACATTATTGACAATTGAAAACTTGTCTACAGACTTACTTTGTAAAAATTAGATAAAAGTGCCTTTACCATCAGTGCCCTCATAGCAGCAATAGGCTACAAGCCGCTACATTTATTTTATACTGATCTGATGAATCCAGAATTGTTAATAACATTGCTAATTCTAAGAACGTCACTAACTTGTACTAGGTCTAAATCTAAGTGTTAAATGACAGGTTATGGGTTTGATTTTATTTGTTATAGGCTTAGGCCTATTCTTAATTATTAAAATAAAATCTTTATTTCCCTCTTTTTAACAGCAGCTTCAGACTACTGGAACCAGTAAAGTAATTAACAACAAAAGACGAATGGTTTGGATATTTACAACATGAACACTCTGTTATGAGAAAGAACCAAAAATAGCTGATGGACTTTACATTTCGGCACATAAACATTCCCTGAACCATCATGTTGCCTAACAGTGCTAGTCAAGTCTCCAGTAGGAGTAGCCATCGTGTTGGATCTCAGGCTAAAAGTTCAGAAGATGCGCAGGTCTGGGTGGAATGGAGAGTAAGTATACTTAATTTTTAAAATACTATAAACGAAATATTCATCTTCAATGAAAATTTAATGGTTTAAAATTCATGTTGTTGTCAAATATGCTTGTTCAGGAACAGTGTGTTTAAGCTGGTGTATTTGTAAAGTCTGCTATCTTAAAAATATGGTTGCTTGGTTGCTCAGTGTGTCAAACTATCATGTTATTAAAAAGTCCACTTTAAATTTTCTTGAATTTTGTTTTTTTAATGCGCATTAGAATCTTGAAATCTTCCCTACCCTATTGACCTATAGTTAAGAGAGATAGTTATATACTTTATAGAGAAGAAAATACAGAGTTTATGTAGCAATACTAAACAGATAGAGATGCTTAAGAGACATTGGCAGACCTATACACCCAGTGGAATGCCATCATTATTAAATGTAGTAAAATGATCCTAGTTTTAGCAGGGTTATCTGTGAACTGTCACTTCTGTTGTGTTACCAGGCAGCCATAATGTAGCATCTGTTGCTCATCATCAAACAGTGTATACGTCTATACATAATCAATTGATTGTTTGTGTTGGGTTGGGAGTGAAATCCTTTATCCTAAACTTAAAGCAGCCATGTTGTAGTTACCAACTGCGGGCAGGAGCTAAATATTGTGTATTTAAAAACATGGTATCTATACAAATAAGTGAGAACCGATATTGATTCACAGCATTATAAGCTACTTTTTGTTGTTGGAATATCAAACACTTGTAACCCTACTTCTAGCCTAACAGTAACACAGAGAATAGAAGAAAAACCATTGAAATGATAAGCCAGTCAGTTTTATTGTGTAGTTATTGGTTATGGTTTTGTTGGCCTGATTTACGTATATTTAAGGAGTCATATTCCTGCTATGTAACATTGCCATCCTATTTATACATCTGTCCAAAATAATTTGATGGACTGACTGGACACAAAGGTCTTGAGTTCAGATCTCGTTTCGGACTTGTGACTGTAGAACGTCCCCGAGTTCACCCAGCTTTGATGGGTACCTGACTTAAGCTGGTGAAATTAAAATCAGGCTGGGCATAGTGCTGACCTTACTTAACTATCCCATGATTTTCAGAGATCAAGAAACATGATCTCTACTTCATCTGCCCAATGGATCACTAGGTCTAAAGAGGATTTTTGTTTCAAAAAGTTCATTAGTTCATGCTAGATGTCCCAAGCTCTGTTCTAGTGTATCTCACAATTCACAAGAGCACTTGCTGTGATTAGCTTGCATTAAGCTTTATGGTTGTCCATCCAATATTTAGTCACATTAGACCAGTAGACCACACCCTTCCCACAGCGTCTCACTATTTCGAAAATAGTGAGACCTTCTCAATGTCATAACCAGACTATCAATTCTTCAAAATAGGCAGCAAGTATTGTTATCAGCGGGGGGGGGGGGGGTGTATTGTCCGTAAATGACGTTACAAACCCTAAAGAGGGTTCTGACTTGATTCGTAATACCCCCCCCCCACACACACCAGTTTTTTTTTATATAATGTTGTTAAGAGTTGAGAACCACTGGACACTAAATAAGAAATCCTGGTAATTGCATACGTTATCCCAGTACTTCTCTTTCCCAGTTATTTTAATTGCTGGCATTAATTCCCTAACTCATGCACTAAACCTAGTCTTAATACAGGCCTTCTATCCTTAGCCCTAACCCTAATAGCAATACCATTAGAAAAAAAACACAATTTAATATTTAGCTTTGAAATAAGAGCTAACACTAACACCCCCTACTCCCTATAAAGTTAGCTTATCCACTATCTGGCTAAAATGACGTGTAGATCTGACGGAAATCTCTATAAAAAAAAATTAAAAAGTTGTATAACTTTTTCAGATTTCTTGAAAGGTATTTTCCCCATCGTAAATTGTCTCCCCTTCTACAATGTGACACGCTTTAATTTCTCTTTATCCACCCACCGCTCTCCTCCTTTCCCCGTACAGGTCACGCGCGCAGCATTTGTTTTGATTTATTGAGGCGGATCATATGACGTTTACATTACATCGAGATTTTAATACCTATTTTATGTGGGTTTTTTTTTTCCCTGTGAATTGCAGGGTTGAGCTGGATTAGCTCATTTATATTATTTCCTTATGTTGATAAACATTTAAGTGTTTATTTTTGCAGGTGTAATTATATATAACACCTGCCGCAATAGTCGCTTTACTTGAAGCGTAACTCATAATCGGAAATATATATAAAAAAATTACAATCGATTTTGAAAAGTGCTTCCCTCCCCGTCATCACACTTACATATAGATCTATAGATCTATTAAAATATTTTAAACTTTAAAAACCACACACCCGATTCCCCCCTCCCCCCCTCTTCCGCCCACCAAATTAATCCAAGACGCCCTAAGCAAAACTACCTCAACAAAAATGTGTTATCTCCTTTGAAATGGTTAGTTAACCCAAAGAACACAAAAAGGAGATTCTATATTTGAAAACCTAATTAACTACAAAATGTGCACTGTTATCAACACACCAGTTCACTGCAGTCGCGTTATCGGTGCTTTTGATTCTACACAGTCTACAATAATATACTATAGCGGTTGTGATGTTCGTAAAGTTTGTAAGAATTTAACTAAAGCAGGTTATACGTTTGTTAATCGTCGTTGTATACGTTACATCCTCCCAACATCAACGAACAATACAAAACCATCGGCGACTCGGCGTCCCAGCATGTGGTGTGACCGTTACCTTTATTGTGTGCTAAGGTGAAGTCGTGTCGTCAGGTGTCATAGATAACACGGCTGGCGACACACCTTGCCCGTTTGACGGAGCGGGTCGCCTTCGGATCGATTCGTTACGTTTCACGGCATTTGAAATTAAGTCGCCATCGATCAACGGTGAGCAGGTATTTTTTGTGTGTACCTGGTTCATTTAAATAACACCGTGCTGGCTCATAGGAGATGGGACTTACCTGTGTGTATGTGTGTGTGATTCTTCTTCGTCGGTCGTGTTGGTTGGTTACAACACACGGATAGTTTTTCTTAAGGGATACAAGTGTGTTGTTTTTTCTTACTTTCTTGGAACCATTGTCATTATGGTTGAGTGGTTGTTTTAGTGGAGTCTCTATCGAGCATCGCTTGAGTGAAGTAGTGGTTATTAGTGTACATGAAGTTAATGGAACCGTGGCTTATATCATTGAAGTGTGGCGTCGGTGAAAGTTGTTGTGTAGTAGGCATACTTATAGAAGTGGAACTGTGGCTTGTAGTTATACCAGTATAGCATCGGTGAAAGTTGTTGTGTAGTAGGTCTACTTATATAAGTGGGACTGTGGCTTGTAGTTATACCAGTATAACATCGGTGAAAGTTGTTGTGTAGTAGGCCTACTTATATAAGTGGAACTGTGGCTTGTAGTAATACCGGTGTAGTGTTGGTAAAAGTCGTGTAGTATACCTACTTATAGAAGTGCTACTTTGGCTTGTAGTAATATCATTGTCGGTAAAAGTTGTTGTATAGTACATGGTGTAGTGGATCTATGGCTTCTAGATATACAGTTTAGCGTGGGTAAAAGTTGTATCGTACTTTGAGTCTATAGAACCGTACCGTAAAATGTATAGCATGGGTGCATGATTATAAAAATCGGAGCTGTTGTCTTGTACCTTGAGTACCACACTGGTAGCTGTTGTATACTAGTTCCTAGCATTTTGTTTAGTATAGCGGGAGTAGATCTGCGTGGTTTATGGTGCTAGAATAGAGCCGGGCTATACGTTAAAACAGGAATGCCGCAATGTCACGTGTGGCTGGAACCGTGTCGCAGAGCAGTGACATCGGCGTCCATGATGCGTGTCGGTATGAACGTGCGTGTGTTCACGGAAAACATTAGCGCTGTTGTTTATTTTATTTTCACATTGACCATTATAAAAAATAGTTTAAAAATGAATACATAACTGGTGAAGTTTTGGCTGTTTGACTTTCGATTATTTTATAAGTTAAAATAAAAGTATTCAGTTGAGGCTTTGTAAGGCTGTAACTTTAGGGGTTAGTATAGTGTGTGGAATTCGTCACGACATGCGATTCCGATCTAGTACTCGTAGTGTCCATCACCATCTTTTGATTGAAGACCAGTAACAACTCGTACATAGACAAGCTGAATCATAGCACCTCACCACACCCCAACTACGTTTTCTTTGTTGTAAAAACGTTTTCTTTAATCTTTCAATGAACGGATTAAATTTTTTTTTTATCTCTTGTAGTCATTAGACGTCCAGAGCTTAACTTTGCGAACATAGCGTGCACTTGAATACTGTGTACTATACATATTCCCTGAACATTTCCACTTTTGCACACCTGGCGCATCTTTTGTTTGGCCTTGCACATGTTGCTCGTTGCTTAATTTCACACCTGTGCAACGTAATTCAGTCCTTGTGTAAAGTGTGAGCCATTCTGGTGTATGTTTGTTTTGCTGGTCAGTTTAACACGCGCCTTTGTCGATTGTTGACTAGTAGGTAGTGAGCTCATGTTCTTGAGGTGAGCAGTCGACTCGCGTTTGTGCTGGTCAACTTGAATGTAAGAGGACTTAACGATCTGGATATCTTGTGCATTCACATGACTCACTTTTGTGCTAGGGAAATTCAATACAAGATGACTTAACGGTCTGGAAATCTTGTACTGTACAGCATTCGCATTCAGATGACTTACGTTTGTGCTAGGGAAATTTCAAAACAGGATGATTTAATGGTCTAGATATCTTGTACTATATGGTATTTAGATCAGTCGCTATTGTGCGTAGAAACTTCAAAACAGAATAATTTAATGGTCTAAATATGTTGAATTGTACGGTATTTAGACCACTGACTGTAGTTCCAGAGAAATTCAAAACAGGATGACTTAACGGTCTAAATATCTTGTACCGTACGGCATTCAGAAGACTCACTTTTGTTATAGGAAAATTCAAAGCAGGATAACTTTAACGGTGCTACAATGAACTGATGTGAAGGCTTTCAGACAACTCACATGTATGCTGATATATTCAGGATGACTTAACGGCCATAAAGTGCCTTTATAACTCACCGTGAAGCAAATTAAGGGCAGGGCTGGTGTAGATTCTCAGGCTCGTTAGTTACACACCCATTGGACAACTGGACGCTCATTAATTCGGTTTATTGAACTTAACCCCACCATGTACCAGAATGGCCGCTGGCGACTGGTCAAGATTACAAACAAGATGCAACATTGTCTTCAGGGTAATACTCGCCATTCTTTCTTTTTTATTCACTGTGGAGTCCCCTCCCCCTCACCACTTCCTGTTTATATATATTTATATATGTATGTATATATATATGTATATATATATATATATATATATATATATATATATATATATATATATATATATATATATATATATATATATATATATATATATATATATATATATAGGCAAATATATTTGCTCTTGTCATCTGCCTCTGTATAATTTTACTGATTACCCACGCCCACATATTTTAATTAGCATGTCACGAAATTTGAGAACAAAACCGAACACGGCATATGGCTAATTACATTAGTTAGCCTTTTTTGTTGAAAAAAAAAATCAATAATGAATGTTTTAATTCGCTTCACACAGCCTTTTATTCGCCACCCCTCACGTTTTCCGTATCCATAGATACATTTGTCACAGTTCCGTCATGTTGAAAAAGGTAGCCTAGCTATGTTTAAGTGATGAAGGGGACGTAACTCTTATTTTTAGACAACCTTCTGCAGTCTGCTATGTTGAAGATTACCCGTAACGATTTTTTTCCACAGGTTTCTTAAGTCCGTTCTGATCTAAATTTAGATTGGTGTGTTTGCTAATAAGGCTATATTATTCTTTAGTCTAGTTATTAATTAAGATCATAGTGCATTACCTAAATCCACTACGACTGATTATGTTATATGGTTGTTGTGTTTCTGTCTAGTACTAGTAAGGGTCATTCATAATAAATGACGTCATGTAGGGAAAAGGGGTGGGGGTTGTAATTTTGCGACGTGTGATAAGGGGGTGGGAGGGGCGGTACAGAACTTGTGATGTCACATCTCCGCATTGGAACTGAATTTTAGCCGTTATTTCGCGTTTTAGAAAACCTTTTTGTAAAACTGTATTATAGTATAGTTTAGGAAGGAATCTATGTTTTTAAAAAATAAACTGCAGTGCAATCTTTTTTTTTTGGGGTGGGAGGTAGGCTCAAGTATGACTTCGATTTGGCGGGGGGGGGGTGTTTTGTGTCGATGAAGGACGGTGGGGAAAGGGAAGGGGAGGTAACAATCGTAAAAAAACAACAAGCTTGACATAATTCACGTATGACCTCCAACCAAACATTAAGATTAATGGGATACAGATTTAGATCTCTATATGATTCGTTTAGAAATCAGATCACAGTAAATATCCTGCCTACTACCAGTTTCATTCAACTTTTCCCATGATATTTTTGCAGTTTTCATTGTTATGACAATATTTCTTAGTAAAAATTCATTACTTGCAATCAATATGTTTTACAAGCACCATTACTAATTGATTAACTTACATCAGTATCTTTTTAAACTGTTATATTTATGTCAACCAAACCCTAACCATGTTCCTAAGACCATAGCTAAATTTTTAACCTCAGTAATACAATATCTATCACTATTGGTGGATTTATGGTATAGGAAATTATGTGTAACAAAATTTAATAAAATACCTTGTGTTTATTTTAGAAACAACTGACAGCTTATGTAGCCTGGGTCAACTCGCAGCTGAAGAAGAAACCTGGTGCTCACTTGGTTGAAGATTTGAGACATGATGTTAGAGATGGCGTGATCCTGATAGATCTTATTGAAGTCATAGGTAATATGATAGATCTTATTGAAGTATAGGTAATATGATAGACCTTATTGAAGTATAGGTAATATGATAGATCTTATTGAAGTCATAGGTAATATGATAGATCTTATTGAAGTCATAGGTAATATGATAGATCTTATTGAAGTCATAGGTAATATGATAGATCTTATTGAAGTCATAGGTAATATGATAGATCTTATTGAAGTCATAGGTAATATGATAGACCTTATTGAAGTCATAGGTAATATGATAGACCTTATTGAAGTCATAGGTAATATGATAGACCTTATTGAAGTCATATGTAATATGATAGACCTTATTGAAGTCATAGGTAATATGATAGACCTTATTGAAGTCATATGTAATATGATAGACCTTATTGAAGTCATAGGTAATATGATAGACCTTATTGAAGTCATAGGTAATATGATAGATCTTATTGAAGTCATAGGTAATATTTTACTTATCACTGGTCAGTAGGTTTTATTGACATTACCGACAATGTTGCCACAATATTTGAGATGTAGTGATTTAATAGATCTTATTGAAGTCATAGGTATCAAAAGCTTATGTTTTTCCAATTTTTTACTATTTCCTAAGTTGATTAAGATAACAAATTGGTTATTGGTTTAAGTAGAGTTTATCACAGTTTAAACTTACAATTGTGAACATAGTCGATTTAGTAAACAGAACTACTGTTATTATATTGTAAGAGCTTCTATCCAAACTAAATGATTACTAACATTTAAAGTATGTGTGGTGTAATAGAAATCTTATGCCTATTGTGTTTTAAAGTGTGTGTGATGTTACTGACTTCTTATGTGTGATGTTACAGAATTCTTATGCATGTTGTATTTTCAGCCAATGAAAAGATAAGTGACATTCACCCCTCCCCCTCAACCTACGCCCAGATGAAAGAAAATGTCGATCGTGTCTTACAGTTCATGTTTGCCAATAAAATCAAAATGCACCACATCACCACCAGAGGTAACTTAAAAACTCAAAACATTAGTGGAGCAGTGTTTTTTGAAAATGCTCATGTGTTAGGCTAGGGATGCAGAATACATTTGATTTTTTTTTTTTTTTTTTTTTTTTTTTTGCTGGCTGTCTAAATCTTCTACATATTGTTACCACTTTTAAACTTGTATAATCTGTTTAGGGTTTTCTATAAGTGATGTAAAACTAGGACGATTTTGGCCCCCCTCCCCTCTATTCTCGTGTCACTAAAAATGATGTCACAAAGTTCTATCTACTGCTATTCCCTAAAACTAGCATAAATCTAACATAAATTACCAGAATTTTTATACCTTTTGTTCTTAAAATATACAAAATAAATACTGTCCCCCCATCACCCACTCTCCTTTTGGGTGAAGTAATTTATGGACAGCCCCATAACTAATTTACTATGATGTGATCCACCTTTTGTTTTCTCACATCTGTAGACATCGTAGAGGGGAACCTTAAAGCCATAATGAGATTAGTCTTGGCCCTGGCTGCACACTATAAACCCAACTCTGTGAGGCACTCGACACAGACCAACAAACAAAACATTGCAGGGATAGCCCAGGTAAACGCATCTCCTCATTCCTGACTACATCCACTTTACCTTAAGTAGTTATAAATAATTAACATCTACGTTAAGTAGATAATAAAATGTCACTGTTTTCACAGAATTTAATTGTAATTAATTAATTAATTGCTAATTAATTATTTCAGGGTGCAGCTGCAGCACTGACAGAGGCGAGAAGAAATGCCACACGAGCTGGTCACAGGTACAGGAGGAGAAGGTGAGATAGTTTTTAGACTCATGTTGTTACTTGCGCCGCTGTTTAATCAACTATTCTGTAGGTAACTGCTTTTTAAACAGTTGTTAAGTGGGACGTTGAAAATTATTTATGTGCCTGTTGCTGTGTATTTTTGCTTAGATTTAAAAAAAAAATTATTATGACCATTGATCATTTATTGATAATGATCAGTAAAGGATATTTATAAACAATTATTGTGTGGATTTCTTTAAATTGGTTAAAACAAATTTTTAATTAAAACAAATTTTTTCTCAACATCTAATACTGATTTTTCAAGTTTTGAATAATGTTGTCTTGTTTAAGAATATTATTTTAAAATCCAGTTATTTTTGATTACTTACACGATTACAATTTGTTGTTGCCATTCGCAGACAAAGGGAAGAAAGTGTGGACATGCATTGTAGCGACTCTGACCACTCCCAGAGCCACCCCTCCCACACCAGCTCCCACAGGAAGTCAGCCTCAGCCTCACACGTGTACCCAGTCTCCCACCAGCCCAGCCACCACCACCCCAACACCCGGCACCACAACCACTCGCTGGACCAGAGGATGATGGGGGAGGGGGAGAGCAGCTCTAAGCCAGACGTGGGGGGCAGGGCTGAGCTGGAGGGTGCCAGCGCCAGCAGCAGCCCCGTCTCTAGTCACAACACCAGCCCTAGGGCTAGTCTGTACCTCAGTGATCCCCCGTCATCTATGGAAGGGTTGTTGTCAGTTGGCGGGCCTAACAGAGGTTAGTAATGGTGAGGGGTGGGCTAGCAGTGATTAAATTATGGGCCTAACAGAGGTTAGTAATGGTGAGATGGTGGGCCTAACAGAGGTTAGTAATGGTGAGATAGTGGGCCTAACAGAGGTTAGTAATGGTGAGATGGTGGGCCTAACAGAGGTTAGTAATGGTGGGCCTAACAGAGGTTAGTAATGGTGAGATGGTGGGCTAGCAGTGATTAGATGATGGGCCTAACAGAGGTTAGTAATGGTGGGCCTAACAGAGGTTAGTAATGGTGAGATGGTGGGCCTAACAGAGGTTAGTAATGGTGGGCCTAACAGAGGTTAGTAATGGTGAGATGGTGGGCCTAACAGAGGTAAGTAATGGTGGGCCTAACAGAGGTTAGTAATGGTGAGATGGTGGGCCTAACAGAGGTTAGTAATTGTGGGCCTAACAGAGGTTAGTAATGGTGAGATGGTGGGCTAGCAGTGATTAGATGATGGGCCTAACAGAGGTTAGTAATGGTGAGATGGTGGGCTAGCAGTAATTAGATGGTGGGCCTAACAGAGGTTAGTAATGGTGAGATGGTGGGCCTAACAGAGGTTAGGAGGAGTGAGATGGTGGGCCTAACAGAGGTTAGTAATGGTGAGATGGTGGGCTAGCAGTGATTAGATGATGGGCCTAACAGAGGTTAGTAATGGTGAGATGGTGGGCCTAACAGAGGTTAGTAATGGTGAGATGGTGGGCCTAACAGAGGTTAGTAATGGTGAGATGGTGGGCCTAACAGAGGTTAGTAATGGTGAGATGGTGGGCCTAACAGAGGTTAGTAATGGTGAGATGGTGGGCCTAACAGAGGTTAGTAATGGTGAGATGGTGGGCCTAACAGAGGTTAGTAATGGTGAGATGGTGGGCCTAACAGAGGTTAGTAATGGAGAGAGGGTGGGCCTAACAGAGGTTAGTAGTGGTGAAATGGTGGGCCTAACAGGATAGTAATGGTGAGATGGTGGGCCTAACAGAGGTTAGTGATAGTTGTAAGGTGGGGCTAACTGACATTCAGGCAGTATTATGATATCTTTTATCTCATTTAGGCAGTATTATGATAGTATCATTTATCTCATTCAGGCAGTATTATGATAGTATCATATATCTCATTTAGGCAGTATTATGATAGTATTATATATCTCATTTAGGCAGTATTTTGATAGTATTGTATATCTCATTTAGGCAGTATTATGATAGTATCAATTATCTCATTCAGGCAGTATTATGATAGTATCATTTATCTCATTCAGGCAGTATTATGATAGTATCATATATCCCATTCAGGCAGTATTATGATAGTATCATATATCTCATTCAGGCAGTATTAAAATAGTATGATTGATCTCATTCAGGCAGTATTATGATTGTATCATTTATCTAATTCAGGCAGTATTATGATAGTATCATTGATCTCATTCAGGCAGTATTATGATAGTATCATATATCTCATTCAGGCAGTATTATGATAGTATCATATATCTCATTCAGGCAGTATTATGATAGTATCATATATCTCATTCAGGCAGTATTATGATAGTATCATGTATCATATATATCATTCAGCCAGTATTATGATAGTATCATATATCTCATTCATGCAGTATTATGATAGTATCATGTATCATATATATCATTCAGGCAGTATTATGATAGTATCATATATCTCATTCATGCAGTATTATGATAGTATCATATATCTCATTCAGGCAGTATTATGATAACATCTTGCGAGAGTGATGCAATGACAGACTCTGGCTACACAGAGATTGCTGATTCATTGAAGGACACACACCAGATGTTGTTTCAGCTGCATGAGTTGGTTGGTGTCAACATTTTCCACATGTTTTTTTATGAATAACTATTACATTTTTTCATTCGTCTCTTTACTAAGGTTTTTTAAAAATTTTAATATAATTTTTCAGTTGCTTAATGGTGAGAACAACCATGACATAGATGCCTCAGGGACTATAGCTGAATGTGCAAATCCTAAAGAAACTATTGTAAGTATACCATCTGTAAAATATATTGCCTCGTTAAGTCTGTAATGTTTGTTGTCGAATTAAAATGGATAGTAATAAAAAAAGAATTGATAAAAAATCTACAAATAACCCTTAATGTGTAGAATGCATATAACATGACCATTAGATAATTATCAAGATGAAATTCTGAAAACTTGAAAAATTTTTATTACTTGCAGACAATCCTCAAAGCAAGGCTCCTACATGCCGAAGAAGTGGCGGAAAATTTGAGATCAGAAAATATGAAAGTCAAACACGATTGCAGGGAGTTGCATGGGACTAAGGTAGGGTGAAAGATCATTTTGGTGTTTATTGGAAAGAGTGAAAGGTCATGTTGATATGTGAATTTTATTTATAAGTTTATGTTTTGTTAAAAGCAATGTTGATTTCATGTGTAAGTTGATGTTTAGTTAAAGGTTACTTTGATATGTGAACTGTGATGTTGATTTTATGTGTAAGTATATGTTTTATTAAAAGTAATGTTGATTTCATGTGTAAGTTAATGTTGATTTGTGAATTTTGATGTTGATTTAGTGTGTAAGCTTGTTTTGTGAAAGGCACTATTGATTAAGTTTAAAAAGTCATGTTAATTAATTAATAAAAGTAAAATGTCCTATTCACTTAGAGTGACCTATTATCTCATTTGGGTCAGTGCAGAATGCCCATTGAGACATAGTGAAAGTGAAAGCAGTTACCTTAATAAAGTTTGCTTAATGGTTTTATAATATGATTTATTGTATGTTTAATCTCATTTGCTGCAGAACTGAATCACCCGCCTAACAAAAGGAAACATTGTGTACAATAAGTTAACCAGCTGTCAATTGTTTTGTAGGCTGCCCTGCAGCAAAGGCTGGCTGAGCAAGAGAATCAACTATCTGCTGCTAAAACTGAGTCCATGACCTTTGAACTGGAGAAAGAAAAACTGGCACTGGAACTTGTGAGTATATTTTCCAAGCTGTCAACTGCAGTTGTTGCCCTTTGTTGTTTCAAGTATAAATGGTCTTGCCTTGGTTTCTTTGGTTCATTAAGATAAAATTAGAATATTTATAAAAACCTAAAAAACATAATGGACATGGGTAAATATTTGTCTGAAGAACAAAACAGTAAGACCAAAATAGTGATGGTTGATAGAAAAAAAAACATGAAAAGATTTCAGTGTTGGGTCAAGATAGCTGAAATTTTGGGCTACAACAGCATTAGGATATTTTTTGGTACCTTGTTGCTGTTTGTTGTTGATTGAGCAAGCCAAGTTGTATTTTGAAAAGCTTCATATGTCTTTTTTATTTATTATGCTACAATGTAGTACATTCTATAATATCTATAAATGCTTGATTTAAGAAAACAAAAATGTCCTTGCATACTTATTTTTCTGTTGCAAATCTTTCCGGTCACCAATAGCAATATTTTAGACAGTGTTTTTATTAGTCTAAAATGTTCGGCCAACTTTTTTACAGGATGCATTAAGAAAGCAGCTTCTTGATCGTGAACAGGTTCTCTCAGATGTGAAGGTAAATTCTAATCCCCTGTTCTACAATTAAAGAGCTACAAGTTTTGTGATTTCCTTTTTTAGAGAGCTGCCAGTATTATTCACTTCCATGTTTTTACCTTGCAGAAAAGTTACGTGAAGCAAGTTGAAGACAAAGAAAAAGCTCTAGCAGATTTACGGGTTAGTAATTGAGATTTTCTCAGTGTGGGAGGGAATAGTCTTTATCCTGTCTTCTTTGGAAACAACATACCACTAAACATCACTAGAGCTGTTGTTTCACTTTGAATAATTTGAAGCAATTAAAAATGAAACGTAATTTAAGAAAGCTATATCCACAGAGAGAGCTGTTGTTCACTTTGAATAACTTGAAGCAACTAAAAATAAAACCTAATTTAAGTAGGCTATTCCCACAGAGAAAGCTGTTGTTCACTCTGAATAATATGAAGCACTATATCCACAGAGAGAGCTGTTGAAGAGGGACCACAGTATTAATGTTCTCACAGAGAAGGTGAATCACCTGGAGAGGGAAGGGGCAGTCAGCACACGACAGGTCAAAGGTCAAATGAAAGAGTTAGCCACGGATATAAAAAAGATTGACCTTGCTGGGGTAAGTCTCGAACATTACTTTTCAAACATTACTTTCCAAACAATTTTTGTATATTCCTATCTTCATTGTTCTTAATTGTAATCTTGGAAGAGATTTCCTCCAACACGTTTAAGTATTACATGTGAATATGTTAAAGACCTTCTTGTTTGTTGTATTGAATGCTGGAGTGTTTGTATTCCCAGGCCCAACTGGAGGCCAAAGTCAACTCACAAGACTACAGACTGGCTGTGTTGGCTGACTACCTGCATAGGGCAGTGGCGAATCAAGACGGACCAAAGGTATGTTATTTTTTTTTACAGTTCTTCAGCTTAGCAAAAAACACTTCACATAACTTGAACTTCGGTTTAGCAACAAAAAAATTGTCCAAAGGTATAACAGTTGTTTTTTTTTACACATCTCTTAACTTACACTTTGGTAAAGAAAAAATATGATCCAAATGTATTAGGTTTTTACACTTCTTTTAAGTCTATTTCAATTTAACTCGTAACTTTTTTCCCTTCAAAGTTATTTATTTTATAATTAAAGAACATCACTACAAGATAGTATTGCCCAACCTTTATAAAAAAGTTAACTTTTTGTTTAGATAAATTTTGATATTAGCTTAATGAGTTTGTATTGATGTAAAGAACATTTTCTGACTATTAACAAACATAAAGTAATGTAAAAGAAATAATAAAAACATACAGGTTAAATAAACTAAAAAATTAAGAATGTTAAACATAACTTGGAATCTTTTGTGTAGTTTACAGATTTGGAAAACATAAGAGAACATTACAAACAGACAAAGCTTGTCTCACCTGAAGTCCCACCCAACACCGTCATAGACAGCCTTGAGGACAGTCTTGTCAAACTCTTGGAGAAGGTGCACATCAATGGATCTGTCTACACAGCGCCCTCTGTTGGCAACAGTTCTCAGGTAATGTAAACCCTTGGTTTTTAGACATTCATAACACTTTCATTATGGCCATGGCATTCATTGCTAAAGAAATACATTTTGTTGCCAAAGTGATTTGTGCTTGCTTGTTAAATAATAATAATGTGAGTGTTAAATCATTATTAGAAACAAAATAGAAAATTTAAAGAAAAATGTTTTTTTGTGTACTGGATGATCTAAACGGCTGATAAAGTAGAGTTAATCTGTTTCTATATTAAATGATTTTATGAGTATGATCAGCATCATGCCCAGCCACCTTTTTGTTCTCCACCCTAATTGAGTAACTTGAACATCATAGATAAATGAGCTCAATGACATTAAATAAACTGAAGCTCATGAACTCATTTTGAATTAGCAATGGTGTGCACTACAACTTGACTACACCATATTATGCAAAATTTCAACTCTTAACAAAATTAATCACCACTCAGTGTATAAAAAGTTGAATCACTAATTAATTAACTATCCTGCAATCAGGAAATGAATGTGAGTACCCCGACAAGTCGCGGGGTCAACTTGTCACAGAACAAGAGAATGGCCATCAACAAGGAAAAACTGACCCAGCGGGTCAACACCAACAGGTCAACCAGCAGTAGCGCCTCACCAGGGAGAGGATCCCCTTCACGCAGACCCGTGGTAAGATTTTGTAGCTTTCACGTCCAGCTAAAGTTTTATGAGTAGCTTGTCCATTCTTTCACATCCATTAGTTTCATGTGGTAATATTTTGTAGCTTCCACGTCCAGCAAAAGTTTCATGAGTAGCGACATTCTTCCACATCCATTAGTTTCATGTGTACATTCTTTTGTGTTTCATGTCCATTCTTTTGTCTTCCACATCCATTAGTTTCATGTGTCCATTCTTTTGTGTTCCACATCCATTAGTTTCATATGTCCATTCTTTTGTGTTCCACATACATTAGTTTCATGTCCATTCTTTTGTCTTCCACATCCATTAGTTTCATGTCCATTCTTTTGTCTTCCACATCCATTAGTTTCATATGTCCATTCTTTTGTGTTCCTCATACATTAGTTTCATGTCCATTCTTTCACATCCATTAGTTTCATATGTCCATTCTTTTGTCTTCCACATCCATTAGTTTCATATGTCCATTCTTTTGTCTTCCACATCCATTAAGTTTTATATGTCCATTCTTTTCTGTCCCACATACGATAGTTTTATATGTCCATTCTTTTGTCTTCCACATCCAAAAGTTTCATATGTCCATTCTTCCACATCCATTAGTTTCATGTGGTAAGATTTTGTAGCTTCCACGTCCAGCAAAAGTTTCATGAGTAGCGACATTCTTCCACATGCGTTAGTTTCACATGTCCATTCTTCCACATCCATTAGTTTCATGTGTACATTCTTTTGTCTTCCACATCCATTAGTTTCATATGTCCATTCTTTTGTGTTTCATGTCCATTCTTTTGTCTTCCACATCCAGCAATAGTTTCATAAGTAGCTTGTCCATTCTTCCACATCCATTAGTTTCATGTGTACATTCTTTTGTGTTTCATGTCCATTCTTTTGTCTTCCACATCCAGCAATAGTTTCATAAGTAGCTTGTCCATTCTTCCACATCCATTAGTTTCATGTGTACATTCTTTTGTGTTTCATGTCCATTCTTTTGTCTTCCACATCCAGCAATAGTTTCATAAGTAGCTTGTCCATTCTTCCACATCCATTAGTTTCATATGTCTATTCTTTTGTATTCCACATCCATTAGTTTCATATGTCCATTCTTTTGTGTTCCACATCCAATAGTTTCATATGTCCATTCTTCCATAAAGTTATGGTTACCTTTAAGCTTGCCAGTAGAGAAAATGAAAACTGTTTTTTTTTTCTGGTGTTATTGCTTTAATCCTGGCTGTAAAATGAATCCTAGACATCTCATTATCCTAAATCCTAAACTGCTTTGCATTGCTACTTTATCTGTCGCCCTAACACTAATTCTAATCCTGACACTTGCTGCGCCCTTAATGTTAACTTTTTGAGATAACATCTTGATGTGATTCTGTTTTGCTCCAACTGTAATCATAATATAATGTTACAGCTAGTCTGATATTTAAAAGGCTACAGGACATTCCCCCCCCCCTCAGTTACACCCCCCTGTCAATTACCCCCCTTCACTGGACATTTACCCCGTATTTACCCCCCCCCCCCCCCCCCCCCCCCCGCCCCCCGCCGGAACATTTACCATTTAAAAAAATATTCATTGATCAAAGTTTTATTTTAAACTTGTCTTATTTATTTTTTAATGAATTGTTTTTTTTGAAAACTGTTATCTTTGGTTTAGACAAGTCACCCAGGCCCATCAAAACTTCACCAAGTTTCCCCTAGGCCATCAACAGCCAACACAGCTGTGGTCAGGGGGACCCCCAGCAAATGCAACAGGTCACAGATTCCTGTACCCCATGGTAAGCCTTTCTCACAATACTATGTTGATCTATCAACACTACCTCTACCAATACTATAGTTGATACAAATATTTAACATTTCTTTGATAGAACCCAGTGATTATAAAAAAAAAATGATAATTAGTAAAGAACATTGTGCTAATGTAAATAAATATATCATCAGTTCCAGTTTAGAAAATAGTGCTTCTGTACACAAATATAACATTGGTTCCATTAGCATGGTTGAGTCAATAAAGCTCATGGTTGCTAAACCAAAAAGTCTCTAGTTCAAAGCCCCAGGCAAATAATAAGGCTTGATAGTTGGGGACAGCAACTCTTCTAGGAGAGACAACTCCAAAATCAAACAACTGCTGCCTTGTAGTTTGTTCTTGGCTGGGCAAAGGCCATGGAAGCAAATCCAAAAAGAAAAGCAGGCTGAAATCGGAATCAACAGCCTATATGGCACATAACAAGTTGACACGTAATACTTTATTGTATAGGAAGGAATCCCTTCTAACATTCAAAATTAAGAACAAAGAAGAAGAAGGTTCATATGCATTTATTAAATCTTATTAAATCTTATCACTCTAGATTTAATATTGTCATTTAATGAACTATAATACTAACATAAATTAAAACATAAAATGTATTTTTTCTCATGCCCCCCATCATTAGACAATATACATTTTTGTAAATTGAACTAAATGTGACTATAACAAGCTGACAGAAATCATCATCACCATCACTCTCCATCTTTCCTCCTCCCAATAGAACTCACTATTTCAGGAGTGCGCACCAAAACACCTTCCCCCACCATTGCTGATGTGCAACCCACCAATGTCATTTATTACTTAGAGAACTCTGACAAACCATCTACGTGTGTGGTACGTAAGAAGTAAGTTTATGTCTCATTCATTTTTTCTGTTGTTTTTCATAACAAAGTTTAGCTAATTAGTGATAACCATCGTAATTTGGGGTCGGCGTGGTTGATTCAGTAAAGCTCATGGCTACTAAACCAAAATTTTTTGAGTTCGAACCCTCTGGCAGATGAGGCTTGTTAGCTGGGGACAGCCACTCTTCTAGGAGAGACAACTCCAAAATAAAATTAAAAAATGCTGCCTTGTAGTTTGTTCTTCGTTGGACAAAGGCTATGGAAGCTAATCCAAATAGAAAAGCAGGCTGAAATCGGAGTCAATGGCCTCAATGACGCATAACCAGTTGACACGTATACTTAATTGTGCTGGAGGGGATCCCTTCCAAACTAAAATTAAGAATGAAGAAGAAAGAAGAAGCTTAATTTGAACTATTATGAGTTATTTCCCTTTAAAAGATTGTTTAAAGGCTAGGAAATCTCTTATCATATACATTATCATATAAACATTTGTTTTCTTCCTGTGTTTCTTTTAGTACCAGGGATAAGGCAGGTTTAGAAGTTGGGGTAGCAATGGCATAAATAGAAACAAAAAAATACTAAACATTCATAGTTTTTAATTCTCTTGCATACATTGTCTATTCAAGATTTGGCCTTCTAGTATCTAGTATTTTCTAAATTCAATCAGCAAAGCAGCTTTTTACTAAGTGCTGTTGATACTGTTGTATGTCAATACAATTTCCAAGTCCAAATCAATGAGGTTGCTCATTATTACCTGCTGTCTGTATGACTGTGTTACACTTGTATGTATGTTATTACATGTACCAACATGAGGCCGCTCATTATAACCTGCTGTCTGTATGACTGTGTTACACTTGTATGTTATTACATGTACCAACATGAGGCCGCTCATTATAACCTGCTGTCTGTATGACTGTGTTACACTTGTATGTTATTACATGTACCAACATGAGGCCGCTCATTATAACCTGCTGTCTGTATGACTGTGTTATACTTGTATGTTATTACATGTACCAACATGAGGCCGCTCATTATAACCTGCTGTCTGTATGACTGTGTTATACTTGTATGTTATTACATGTACCAAAATGAGGCCGTACATTATTACCTTCTGTTTGTATGACTGTTCCACTTGTATCTTATAACATGTACCTAAATGAGTCCGTACATTATTACCTTCTGTTTGTATGACTGTTCCACTTGTATGTTATTACATGTACCAAAATGAGGCCGCTCATTATTACTGCTGCCTGTATGACTGTTATACTTGTATGTTATTACATGTACCTAAATGAGACAGCTCATTATTACCTGCTGTCTGTATGACTGTTATACTTGTATGTTATTACATGTACCTAAATGAGGCCCCTCATTATTACTGCTGCCTGTATGACTGTTATACTTGTATATTATTACATGTACCAAAATGAGACAGCTCATTATTACCTGCTGTCTGTATGACTGTGTTACACTTGTATGTATGTTATTACATGAACCAAAACGAGACAGCTTGTTACAAAACCAGTGTCTTACAGGCTGGGAGAAATACGACTCAGGGACCTGAAAGCTGTGATCCCAGACTCCAACCTGTACCACTACTTCTTCAAGGCCCTGGATCCAGAGTACGGGACAGTAAAAGAGGAGGTGTGTCTTCTATTTTTTTTGCTAATTACAAAATTAATCTTAACAGCATCTTACAACATCGGCTTTATACTAATAGAGAACTGCAAAAAAACATTTCTGCCCAGCTTAACCATTTGTGTTACAACATAAAACAAAATGTGTTCCCATGATTTGTACTTTATATGACTCAAATCCTTGTATAATTTATGGGATGGCATAGTTGTATGATAGAGCCTACAACTGCTAACCGGAAAGATTTTTGAGTCCGGGTACCATGCTCAATTATGTAGGGCATCTATGAGTCCACCCAGCTTTGGTAGGTACCTTAGGGAAAGTGCTGGCCAAACTATCCATTCATATGCTGAGGTAACAGAAACTGGTGAACTCTAATTCACCTGCTCAATGGACGTCCAGGTTCAAAAGAGTAACTTTACTTCTACTTACTCAGCTTGCATGCTTTAGCACCTGTGTTTTGTGTTTCAGCTGTCAAATGATGACGACCTGCTCCCTGGGTGGGAAGGAAAGATTGTGGCTTGGCTGGAAGAGGAGAGTGGGACAGTCTGTTAACATCAGGTCAACTGTTTGTTAACATCCAGTTAACTGATGTTTGTTTATGAAGAGATTGGGACAGCATGTTCACTTTTTGTTAAAATTCACTTAAGTGATGATGGTTTATGAAGAGATTGGAACAATTGTTCACTGTTTGTTAACATTCAGTTAACTGATGGTTTATGAAGTGATTGAAACACATTGTTCACAGTTCCAGCCCATTTGATGATTCCAGCTCTCTAGCATTTCATTTTAAACCCCACTGGAGTAGTAAGTTGTGTTTAACTTGCTACAAGAGATTTAAAAATAAATTTGTGAGAAGTGAAAGTGTGGCTAATGCTGCTAAACAGTTGTTCAACATGCAAAGTGTAGTATTGGAACAACATTATAGTTGTATGTGTGACTCTCCAGTTCAATAGCAAATGTTTTACTTATATTGACTTCTGTATGGGCTTATGTGCATATGGCTTATATGTACATTTATAAATATTGTATGTGGTTTCTAGATCAGCAGCTGTAAATAGAAACAAGGCTGAGCTTTCATTGTTTGATGTTAGTGTCATTGTAGATATATTTGTTTTGCAATAAAGCTGGTACCAGTTTTTAAATAGTTCAGTAAAGTTCAGTAACTCTGGGAAAGTTGGCTTTTGCTTCAGATCAGATCAGATAAGTATGAAACTGTTTTACTCAAACTAAAATAAAATGAAAATTGTTATATATTTAAGTTTTTTTTTTCTGTATAAAAAAATAATTTAATTTTAACTGTCACTGACCCTGAATATCAGCTTTTAATAATAAAGAAATAAGAAAAAACAAAGGTAGACATTAAAGAACAATTTGTTAATTTTCATTTCCAAAACCATGTTACTTTATTCATGTTTTGTTCCATTGAAATCATTCCAAATTTTTTAAATTTTGTTTGAATTGTGCAGGAATTTACTGCCAGTAAACATTCCTTTCTGTGATATTTTGAATTAATTTTCATGAAGAAAAATCATTTTCTGTTTGTTATCATTTGTTTTAAAGAATTGAATTTTCATAGCAGAACATAAGGGATGCTGAGCGGTTGTGTATTTGTTTCAACTTTCAGGTTTTTACAATTTTTATGTTTATGTAAATATTACTTATAACAATGGCCTTCTACAAAGAAGAAATTTTTAAGCATTTATAGTAAGAAGTTATTGAGATTAGATATTTAATTTGTGTAGTTTTTCTATATTTTGCATTTTGATAATTTATTTTTTACAAATTGTGTTCATATGAGGTAATATTACAGTAGGGGACTTAACTCTCAGGTTATAATTCTAGGAGCTACAAAAATCCTATTTGTGGAGCTCCAGTTACTTAACATTACAACTGTTAGATGTATGTGCAGCTCTTCTATATAGCAAGTTTAAATTTTTTTTAAAAGAGATCATTTAATCATTTAAGGAGTGAGCAGATGTAATTCTGGAGTGGAGGGGCAGGAAAAAGTGGTAGATTAGATCCAGATTTGGTCAACTCTGATAAAAGAACTGAAATCTTTTGTTGTGGAAACAGTGACATTCCTTGCCTGTATAATGGCTTTTAGCTTTGTAAGCGCAAGTCTGTGGGCAGCTGACTTGGTTTTCCTTGTTTGTTTTTTTTGTTTGATTTTTTAAACAATTTTTACAAATCAAGATATTTTTTATGTGAAAGTCACTTTTTTGTTGCAACTGATGTTTTAATTTATTTTACTAAACAATAAATTGCATGACAGTTGTTTAGATTAGAAAAATTACTATTTATAAATGTTTTAAAAAATCAGGTCTTATTTAATCTTCGACCAGTAGTATATTAATAACTCAATAACATTTTGATTTTAATTCGCAGATAAATTTAATGTGATTTGGCTTTGAATATGTTAAAAGTTTAAAAATATATTATTTTTAATAAATGACATTAAAGGACTTGAAATTTTTAATTAGTGAATGCTGATTATATAATTAACTTCCTTAGTTCTCAAGGTATGGTTGTTTGGATTTTAGTTTTGGCAAGTTATACGTATATTTATTCCTCTAAGTTATTTCATAATGTTTAAAATAATTGTTTGTCTTTGATGTTAAAGAATCTCAAAGTGAAAAAACTATTGTGATGACATGAAATAGTTTTACTTGAATATAAAAAAAATAAAACATACCAATTGATGTTGTATTTATAAATGTGGCCAAGTCATTGTTCTGCTACCTATTTCACACAAAAAGTAAATGTCACATTTTTTCAGTGTTGTCTTATGTGAATTTTAAAATTATTTTTATTTTTACTATTACCGTCAAGCTAAATAGAAGAAATTTTTTTTAACAAAGTATTGTATATATTTTAAACAAAATCCATTTGTTTTGTTTTGTTTTTGTTTACTGCTTGTTTTAAAATTTGAGAAGATTAGATGTACAAACAAAGTGAACTTTTAATTTAAGTCACAGTTTGTTAGTAGTCAAACGCTAAAAATTGTGTACACTGTGCTTTGTATTTATTTTATCATGGCTTATAATTGTTCTGTATTTTTGTAAATTGCTGTACAGCATTGTAAACTAGATGGATTGTAAATAATTGTAAATTGTACCTAAATGACTTATTTGGCGAGGTTGTTTTGTACATATGTAGTGTAAATGGTTGTGATCTATGATGGTGTGATAGGAATACGTGAGCATAATCAGCATCAAAGAAAAGGTTAAAAACACAGGAGCTGAAATTAAAAATGTACTCTAAGCCATACTATCTTGCTACTTTTGATTGGTAGGAATCTTTCAGTCTTAAGCGTCTAGGCACTATCTACTTATTATTTAGCGTTGAGTCTTCTGTCAGTCTACTTAGTATCTAGGCATCTATCATTATACTAAGTATCTAGGCATCTATCATTCTACTTAGTATCTAGGCATCTATCATTCTCCTTAGTATTTTGTCATCTATCATTATACTAAGTATCTAGGCATCTATAATTATACTTAGTATCTAGGCATAATGGTGTACTTAGTATCTAGGCATCTATCATTATACTAATTATCTTGCTAGTCTACTTAGTATCTAGGTATCTATAGTTATAATTATCAAGACATGATGGTCTACTTAGAATCTAGTCTTCTGTCAGTCTCCTTGGTATCCGGGCATCAGTCAGTCTACATAGTGCCTAGGAATATATCTGACTACTTAGTATCTAGGCTTTTGTCAGTCTACTTAGCATCTTCTATCAGTCTACATAGCATCTTAAGTTAAATTCCTTTTTCAAACCTGACAGTCTATAGGGCAAGTGAAGTAGAGTTCACTTGTTTCATAGCATCTAGTAATCTGCTTATCATTCTTTAATCAGTGTGTGCTTTCACATCCTCAAATGTATTACCCAGTGACTTTGTGCTATCAAAACTTACTGTATGTGTTACATGCCTCCAATCCAACACCCACCCTACCCTTGTAAGTTCCCATGCTTTTTTTTATTAAATGGATAAAAGTATCTGATTATTTATAAGACATTAAGGTTTGAAAGTAAAACACTAAAATATTGTTTTTGGGTTAAGTTTTTCAAAGTATCTTAATTCATAGATGGGTGGCTTTATAAAAAAATTGTTGTTTCTTGTGGCTTATTTGTTTAATCTAGATTCTACCTGCTGGTTATAAATGAAGCTTTTGTGTTTTTACCAGTGAGAGATCCATCTTAGCATCTGCAGTGATTACATTTTTAAATTATTCATGCTGCACCCAGTTTTTCCAATGTGTTGTATACATTTTTTAATTATTTGGCCTTTAATTTATTTGAGACAACTAAAAATACTTTTTAAAAATACATACAGAAGGGCATGTATCTTTTATTGTCTGTGTATGAATTAGATCCCAGTTCTTTCAATAATTTTTAAATTATGTTTTTTATTTATCCGTAACTAAATTTAACTTGGTTGTGTAATTTTCGTTTCTTTAAATGGCAAATATTTTTCTAAGCCCTTCTAATCCCAATGTCCCAGTAATTAAACACATCCATAAATCAAAGCCTAAAGTATTTGAAAAATCAAAAATTTGTTTCATGTTGTGTGAACATTTCAAACTTTTCCATGACAAGCTATTTAAAACATTTCACATTAGTATCAAATGTTTTTCAAAAGCCCATTTAGAATGCAAGAGACTTTTCTTTCATAAGAAATTTTATGCCAGTTACACTTTTTTTTTAAATGTAGACATTTTTATTAATTTTTAAGTTGACTCAGGCTATGTACTTGAAACATATCCATTGTTTAGTATTATTTCATAAATATGTAACGTATTTTTTGGAGCATGAAACATAAATAAATAATTAAAAATTCGTCATTCTTGAGGATAGGATCCCTTTTCAAAAAATGAAATGAATTTTTTTCCGTGTGTGACAACCACCCATTTGAAAGTAAAATGATTGTTAATGTTATGACAATGAAATGATTATGACATTGAAAGTGAAATGATTGTTACACTGATGACCACACCCATGAAAGTGAACTAATTATTGTGATGACCACACCATTGAACGTGTTGATATTGTGTGTTTAACTCAGACTTGCTTTAGTGAGATTACTCTGCTGGTATCTAGTCAGTTTTTACACCTCTGTATGTTGTAACTTATTTGGATGCTTCTTCTCACCGTTCAGTATTTGCTAGTTCTTCAACTCTATTTATTTGCTTTTCCATCTAAGTAGTTAAAAACTCGTCTAGTTTAAAAAAAAAGAAACTGAACATTATTCACATCCCATTAAATGTACAAGTTGTACTAATTGTATTAAGACATTTTTAAATGAAAGATGATGAATATCTTAACTTTTTAAAAAGCTTATCTTATAAACCATTATGTGTTATTTAAGTTAGAGGGACAAAACAATTATGTAACTCAAAAAACTAATTAATATTTTGTCAATGGTAAGATGTCTCTGGCAAATTTATTTCTTAAGTGTTATTGTGACTAAATTATACATGTCTAGTATTATTCAAGTTTAATTAAATTCCGTGTACTAGGCCACTGTTTAAATTTTCATAGTACAGAGATGTTTTCATTGCTGTTTGCTAACCTAAAGATTTTTTTACTCCATGATATAACTCAGAGGGGAAAAAAAAATAGTTTTGTACTGCTTAGGCTGGTTACTAAAAGTACTTACTTTTTAAAAATTCTCATGTTTCAAGCTAAGATTGGATTGTTAGAACATTAATCCAGATTCAAAAGGTGGTCTAGCAGTTTATTGTGTACAGCTTGGATTATATTTGTCTTTTTGTCTCACTTTGTTGCCAAAATTGTTTTTTCTTAAATAAAAATCCACATGCAAAAAAAAAAGGATAAAAAAATAAAGTAAATAAATAAAACAAAGTTTTCACTGTTCAAAATTTTATTTACATAAATGATTGCCATTAAATCTTTAGCTAGATAACAAAAATAATCATCAGGCCTACTACTTTATAAAGTGCTTAGATGAGATTTCTAGTTTTTAAATTCCTAATTAGATAGAAAGATGAAGTAATTTCTCATGATTATAGTATTCTTAATATCTAATTCAATGGTAAGCCACTTTAGTTGCAGCTCTATAAACGCAAGTTACCGCTCTATAAACGCAAGTTACCAATTGAGCTGTAAAGCAATAAATGATAATGTCTTATAAATCCCTTAGCTACAAGTATAATATGATTTACAGTATACACTAAAAAGTGACAAGAAAGCTCAGCACTCAATAAATTGCTATTTTATCCACTGTGCTTAAAAAAAAGGTTATAAACATAGCTTAACCTAACTAAAAAAAAGTTAGAACCACAACTCAATACAAATGCAAAAAAAGGGGCAGTGAACAAACAAATTATTAAAATAAAACTGAGGAAGTTTCTGCCGAAGGAGTTGAAAAATGAATTCAAATTTCAACCCAAACAAAGGTTTTAAATTAAAAAAAAAAAGGCCATTAACAAAAAAATCATAAAATAAAATAACAGAATTAAAACATCATGTGATGTGAAAAAAATGACCATAACTTAAAAGGAAAAAAAGCTTTTTAAAAGCATCAGAACATGAGATGCAGCATTTTCTAAACGTATTCCAATAATTACTGAGACTAATAAGAAAAATACCCTTTAACAATGTACCCAGTATAAAAATTTAACAAGAATGAATACAGATAAATATTGCTATTTCAACAAAGTATGTACATAATTTGTATACAATCAACAATCACTTCACCAGCATATATACAACATGGTAAATATCAGACAAATCTTTGATTGAAATGAACTCTTTTTATAGAAAGACATCTTCTATACATAACAAGTTTTCTATAACAAATAATCTATAACAAATAATATTTTTAAAAATTTATGTTTTGCTTGAGAAATTAGGAGCAATTTTATCATTGCTTAAAAAATAAACAGAATTTATTTTTAAACTTATTGCAATGCCCAAGGAAGATTAACTGTTTCATTTGTTTTAGTAACTAAAGAAAAAACAAGTTTAAAAAATACATGATTTAATGTCGTAATAGCTAGATAATACAGGTGGATGGAACAACCGAGTATAGTACTTGGCTAAAGGAATGTAATTGATCTATGCTTTCTGTTTTCAAAAGAAACAGTTGAGGTATCTCATTCACAACTACAAATATTTTAAAAAATAATTTTTTACTGACAGGTACGCTTTTTTATTTTGATTTATCTCAAGAGCACAACTGCAGCAATCATAGCAGAGAAGTTACCATTTCTGAAAGAAAGGGACAGTTGATCAACTGTACACCAAATATATTTAAGAGCTATAACCTTAAGTTCCAAAATAAAACAAGTTGATTAAAAAATCTTATTTTGATTCTGCTTTTTGAAGGAACATCAAAATAGGAAAATAAGACTTTAAAGCTTAAGAAAATATAGTGGTGTTTATAAACTTTTGCTGTATAAATAAGAACTCTGATATGAAAATTCCGTTAAAATATTCTGCTTCTTTGTTACATACCCATATATATAATATTTATTCTGCTCAACACCTCAACTGCATTTGAGTTTTAACACTAGTGTTTTCATTTACATTAGCTATCAGACCCTTGTACACACAACTATTATCCTATGTTAAATCACCCTTACTTTAATTTAAATAAAAAGGATTCAAAGATTTCAGTACAAGGATACAGGAGTATATCTACAAACATTAAGTAATAAAAAAGGCAAGGCTTCCATACAAGCATAATTCACCTGATATCTATTAGTATAACCACAAAAAAATACATAAAAGCAAGAGTAAGGGGGAAAAGTTATGTTAAATGCTACAAGCCACATATTTTTTGTTTGTTATTATACTGCTCCCTATCCAATGAAGTTTAGCATTCACAACAAGTGGTCTAACAAGACTAACAAAGTTGTGACACATGTACTGAACTGTCAAAAAACAAAAATGCACTCAATAAGATTATTCACCAGGTGAGTTTTTAGACAATGGACAAAATATCACAACAGTCAACTATAGGGCAGTGGATAGACATCTGAAACATTTGCTACACCTGTAAACTCACTTGTCATATCAAAGTCATGCTTCAATATTGACCACACCTGTGTGTGTCAAACTCATGTCATTCTATCATAGCTGCTGCATATGTCAAATGTTTATTAGATTTGCTGGATCACTGCATGCATGCTTGCATGTCAAGCTTGGATGTTTACTAGATTTGTGTGAAATGCATATGTATACATTTTAGCTGGATCTGTGCATGTCACACACAAATGCTAATGAGATAGATTCAATGGGCCACTAGTTTTTTAAGTATCACCATTGGATGAGAAATGAGAGAAAAGCTGAAACTGTGAACCATTTGAAGAGCTACTGTTTGTTTTCAGTAAGGCAGTAGTCGAGGATGGGTGGAGGGTCAGTGACTCTGGCTTCATGGACAAAATTGCTGAGTTGAAAGATTGTGAACTGGAGGTTGGTAATGTAAATCCTTTACTTGTCAGTGATAAAATTGTGGCAGCATTGGCCGAGTCAGTGGAGAGGACAGCTGGTGAAAATAACAAACTCCCGTTGGAGATGGTGGAAGATGCTAGTGACAGGCCTAGGGAGGAGCTGTTCTGATTGGAAGACTGGGATGACGAGTCACCAGCTGCCATGCTGTCAGAGCCCTGCGCAGGTGGGGGCGAGCCTGATGATGTTCCCCTGTTACCCGCCTCCCCTGATTTTGCTTCCATCATGCGCTGGTGCTGTTGGAGGAGTTGGTCCAGTTGACTGGGTTGGCTGGGGCACAGAAGTAAAGTTGTAGTGTTAGTGTCAGATTTGGAGGTGCCGTTGTCCCCGGCTGGATTCATTATTTGGATCTGAGTTTGGTTGTAACTTGAACTAGGAGGGTTGATGCGTTTTTCTTTTTGCCGACGATTGCAAAACCAAACACGGATTACCTGAAAGATAATATAGTAAAGGTTAAACATTAAGTTTAAAATTAGGCTATGAGCAGTAAAGTAATTTCAGTTAAACTCTTCACCCCTTAAAAAAAAAAGTGGCATTTCATTTAAAAGCTATGTTTTGACTAGTATCAACAATTGTTTTGATAAAAATGGTAATTAAGAAGTTAAACAAGTGTTTTAATATGCATGCCTTATTATGCATGACTTCTATACAGGGCTGGTAAGTAGGTCACCAACCAGTTCTACGGCTCAATAAAACCTGCATGAGCCATATAACTGATTGTTGACCTACTTACCAGCCCTATACCAAATATCTACCTCCTTCTCCATGTTGAGAGTGTCAGCTATTAATGAAATATCATCTGAGGTAGGTTTTGGATTTCCCTGGAAACTTTTCTCTAATGCCACTCTAATGACAGTGTCTATGCTGGTGCGCTTCTTTCTCCTCCTGCCCAAGCTCTCCGCTCCCCCACCCCCTGGTGACAGTGGTGTTGGGTTACGTGACATCACATCTGCATCCTACAGTGATAATTAAAACATTTAAAATGTTTATTAGCTATAAATATGCATATATATATCATCATCTTTTCCCATTAGTGCCCAAGACACATGTAGCAGATTATGTAGAAATCATCTGTTTCAAATGACCTCAGCATATAGTGTACTTTGTACTATGCCCAACCGTCTAAGTTTTCCCGAATGTAAGTCAGGTACCCATTAGAGCTGAGTGGACTCAGGGAAGTTCTGTGGGATCCGAATGCAAAGCTTTTGGTTTAGCAGCTGTGTGCTCTTAGGCTCTACCATCCAACCAGTCCTACTTGTGTATACATAATTTAGCACCCACATCGCACACAGAAACAAGCAACCAAGTGTTAGTAATTAAATATGTATGTGTGTAAAAAAAAAACTAAGGCTACAAGACAACTAACCTACCTGTAACCATTTCTGCAGCAATGGTTTTAGCTTGCACATATTTTTAAAGCTCAGATTAAGAGCTTCAAATCTTGAAATAGTTGTCTGGCTAAAATCATTTCCATACAACTTGCCCATGGCTAGGCCTACATCTCCTTGTGTAAAACCTGTGGATAAGAGTAAGCTTGTATTTATTTATGTATTTAAAAAGTAGCAATATGTTAAACATATTTCCAGGAATAATTATAATCTCTTGTTACCCTAATTTTTTATGTCTGCAAGATTAAAATTGCATAATGTAAAGTATAAATTTTGTTTTTATTTCATGTACTGAGCTTGTATTTTATGTACTGAGCTAAAGCTTGATGTGCACAGAATGTCTCAAGGACCAAGGTCAAAATTCTGTCACAGCTTAGAATTAGGATATAAGTGTTAGCACAAACTGTTAATCATTGCTTTGTGTTTGTGTGACTCACCTAGTTCAATTCTTCGTCTCTTGAATGTCTTTGCAAACATTTCCAGCTCTTCCAGATCAATGTTCATTGTTTCCTCCTAAATTAAAAAAAATGAATCAAAATAAAAACAAAAGTACACATCATAAGTATCATTATTATCAGGCTAACGTAATCTATGATACTAGAAAAATTAATATTTAGTGTCAGTATTTTATGTCAATATATTATGCCAAGGTATTAGGTACATGTTACAAGCTTCTTTACAATATAGTGAATTTGACTGGGAGAATGAGAGATGCAATCTTAGAATTGAGTTGCAATGTCTAAGTGGAATGAAAATAAGAAATGCTAACCTAAATTTAAAAGGTAAATATCTCACTTAAAATCAGTTCTATGGTCTTATTTTTATATTATAAAAATCAGACTTTTGTTTTAACAAGGATGAAAAGATGTTTGTTCTCATATATAGTGAGACACACTACAAAAATAAACTAGAAGTAATCGATTAGCCACAGACACAACATATCAGGCACAATGATTTCACTAATATCAACAAAATATAAATATTCTTACCATCATATCATTAGATCCCATCAGAACAGGGGAATTCTCTCTGGGGCTGCCTTGAGGTGATGCAGGGGGTGAGGAGCTTTGTTCAGGTGATTGCATAGGTGACTCTTGGTGCTGGGGCTGGGCTGATACCTGCTGGGTCAACATCAGGCCTCCAGCAGACAGGAGGTTGGGCAGAGTGTTCTGACAGATAGAAAATATGTTCAGACTTAAAGCCTTTTGTGTTTAATCTAAGTTATTCTTCTTGACAGCTAACAAAGGTATTCTTCTTTTTTTTTATTATTGTTAAACAAATAATCCTATAGGTCTAGTTGCATGTTAGAAACAATATGGAAATGGAGAAGCAAAGATCTATGGTGAAATATATTAAAATATTTTAAAAGTTTTAACAGAATGGGATGGTGCCAGTTGTTGACAGAAATCTAATTTTTGACCTGCTCTGACCTGGTCCTGACTAAGTTGAAGAAATTAAATGCTGCTGGGCATAGTAAAGTAAAGATGCCCTGGAGGACATGATGGTCAATTTGGCAGGTGAAGTAGAGTTTGCCTGTTTCCGTGACCTTAGCACATGTAGCGATAGTGTGTGTGGTCAGTTCTATGCCTAGCTGCCTTTACTTTATCTAGCATGAGTCAGGTACCAAGCTGGGTGAATTGAGGAACATCAAATGGACTCCAGCATAACTTTTACATTAGAAGTTGTGCGCTCCCCCACCAGGTCATACCCTCCCATACTGAACATAGTTCTGAAAAATAAGTTTTCTAATAAGATCAGGGAAAAACTGTGCTAATCACCTGGTTTGGGATCAGCAGCTGGGTCCCGGTCAGCTGGCCCAGCTGTGATGGGCTGACCACCAGGAACTGCTGGAGCTGGCCACCTTGTAACATGGACACAGTCTGAGCACCCTGCAACATCTGGGCCAGGGACTGGGTCATTGATGTGGCGGCCAGGCTTGACTGGTGGTCAGATGTGGTGGTGGCAAATAATGGGGACTGTGTTGATGGTGTTGTGCTACTGCTGGACCTCAAGGAGGCAAAGCTAGAAGCTGACAGGGCACTCTGAGAAAAAAAACAAAGAGCACACATGAAATGGTTAACATTTATCATTCATGTTCACAAGTAACAAATAAAGAAGCCAATGATAATATAATGTTTCAGCATTAACCTCTTAACTTTGTTTTGTTGCTGCTAGCACTGAAAGTTTTAAATTTATTACACTTTTTGGGATCAGCCATAGAGAATAATAGGGATGCTTTTGTTAGATCTTTGGGATTTTAAGATCATGTTTTCTCCTTTCAGATTTATTAGTCAATACATTGACTTTTTTGTGTGTTTATTACCAACCATATCAAAATAAGAAAACTTATTCTCAAAAAGTTAATTTTTAATTTTTTTTTTTGAGCTTCAGGTAACCAAACTATATTTTTTTAAAAAACTATGATGTACTGAGTTATGCCCCTTATCTTAGTGATGAGGAATTGTTCCACCATGGCTATGCTTACAGAGTTGGTGCCCAGGTATAAAGGCTTCATCTCCTTGTTGTCTGTGCTCAGATTGAGCACCTGTCCCAATTGCTGGTTGTTTTTCTGTTGCTGTACCTGAGACTGCAGGAGAAGTTGCTGAAGTTCTGGGGTCAAGGTCAAGCCAGAGTTTTGCATAGCTGATGAGACTGGGATCTGGAGGCAAAAAACATGGTCTATTAAAGTAAATCAAGAGTCAAACACAATCTGGTGTGTCTCAAACAGATTTTTTTTAAAAATAGAAGACAATTACAATACACAAAGCAAACAAGAATTAGCTGAAAATTGTGTTGTATTTGTAAATAGGCATAATTAGTGTAGGTTTATAAATAAAAATTCTTGTTCTATTTTTATTGATTCTTAAAATTTTGGCTAAGTACCACCCACTCACACCTTGTGTTATGCTGTTTGACAAGTCTAAAGAGTTGACCACTTCAAAATCCATGGTATTTCTATCGCTCTAATTCTGAATTTAGTAACATCTATAGCAATCTAGTGGAAGTCTTTGATGTGTCTTATATAAATAAAATGAAACATTTTCAACTACTTTTTATTTCTCAACTTTGTATCTAGTATTTAAATTTGATAAACAAATCGTAAATAAAAAAAAAATAGCAGTAAACTTAGCTCATGCACAGTAATTTTATAAAGCTAATTATGAGGCAAAATGTAAAAACAATTATGCTAACAATAATTTGATGTTTATATTGTTAAAATACACAATTTAACCCTACTACATCTTTTGCAATACAAGAAAAAAAAAACCTTGTTTGCTCCTCCCCATTCCCTCTTACAAAAGGTGTCTTTGTACTGAAATTGTTTTTGTAAGATGCATGGGTTCAACTAGTGAGAGCAGAGCTACATTTGACAAAAATGATACTGACCACTGCCTGCTGACCAAACTGATTTTGAACAATGAGCCCAGCTCCCCCAGCAGTTGTGATGCCAACTGGAATAGACTGCTGCAGGAGCTGTGGGAACTGGATAATGCTGCTTGTGGTTGAGTGTTTCTCCATTGTCTGTAACACAAGCAAGATAAAAAATGACAGCCATTGTAATCATGTACATGCAAAGACCATTCTATTTGTATATATAAAACATGGATTTTGGTTTGCATTTGTTTGTGTAGGCCTATGCAAGCAAAAACAAGTAGGCAGCTACACTGCATGGAAATAAGCAGCAACACTGCCTAGAAAGTAGCAATGATATCAAACAAAACTGAATCCTCTGGCTCATACTTCTTGATATGTAAAATTATTATCAAGAGCATGGTAAACTTTTTTTTTTAAATTCTTCAAAAGTAAATTATCTCCTAAGATCGACTTGTAACACTTAGTGAGAAACTATAATGATAAGGTAAATGTATAGAGTTATACAGCCCACTGGTAATAACAATGAAATACTAATCACAACAGAAAGGCAGATGGGCACTAGTTTGTTTTACACTGCAGCATAGATGTACTTTAGGACCAGTACACAGACTAGGTCTTTATCCCTCCCCCCTCCTTGTTTTACAATTATAGGGACAGACAATTGATTTTACCACCCACACATCCACCTCTCAACCGTATTCATAGAGTTCTATAGTGGAGGGGGGAAAAACTAAAAATGTTTCAAACAGATCTCCACCATCTCGGCTAAACAAGAGCATTCACCGCCCTTCGTTATGAATAAAAGGCCGATTTGAGAAAATAAGGATGAAAACATCGATCTATCTAATTATATCAATTAAAAATATTATAGAGATAGAGCGGGATGGTATTCAAAACGGAACGGTTGCTTAGAACACATGAAAAAAAAAAGGGAATTAGCAATTAGACAAAGTACTAGTATGCAAATAGCATACTAAAAAATAGTCCCAACAGATGGACGCAGGTGGTTTTAAAAATGAAACACCGATTGAATGGTGACAGGAACAGGCCTAGATATGTGGAGAATATATGAGCAACGAAGCAGGAGGATTAGCGTAAACTCACAAAATTACTTGTTTATAAACCGGGCTGAGAATTAGAAGCAGGTTACGTGTAAATGTAATGCCGTGTCACTCAACACCTAATCAAGTATACCTCATTATTTCCACACTGTATGCCCTAGCGATAATGACAACACGCAAACCATCCACGGGACAAGGATGCTAACGTTAACGTAATTGACTGAAAAGCAGCTTGGTATTGCAACTACGGACAGTGGCTCGACCATGGCGATCTAACGGGCTCAGTCCACTTCACCAAGGTGGATATTTTATTTTTAAACTTAGTGGCCCCGATTATTAAATGGAAATAGCAGTAACTAATTCTACAGAAAGGAGTGAGAAGAAATAGAAATTCGAAGCGATCTCTATACGAAGAAAACAACACAGTATTGCACGATAGTGATAATATAACAAATCGTTGAAAATTAAATGAATAAGCAATTAACATTTCATTAAAGAGGAAAAGCGATAAAGCCATTAAGGAGTTTGCTGTGGAGCAACGGACTATTCGTAGAGCTCATACGTAAAAGTCGGATAGATATTTCGTTTACAAATATTAGAGTAGGCGCCCACTGTTTGAAAAATAAAAACAAGAGAAAAAAAAATAAACTAAGATGAAAGGCATGTAGAAGCAGTAACGCTAACAACAACTATCATATTTTAAATTACACATGACGTCAGGCTGCTCAGCCAATACACGCCCCTTCCCCTTAACAGCCACAGGGCGTTACAAACAGACCTGGCACGACCCCCCCCCCCCCTCAAAAAAACGGAATCAGTTTCCTCTCCTCGGAGTGACGGCGAGGTCGGGAAAGAGAGCGTCTGACAACTAAATCCAAAAGCCCAGAGTTCGGACCCCCGGGCAGATGAGGCTCGTTAGCTGAGGACAGTAACCCAGGAGAGACAATGGTGGATAACGGCTATGGAAGCAAATTCAGAAAGAAAAGCAGGCTGAAGTCGGAGTCAACGGGCCATATGGCGCAAGTATTGACACGCAACACTTAATCGTGTTCGATGGGGGAAATCTCCAATATTACAATTAAGAACGAAGTCGTTTCTTTTCCTTCTCCTCGCCGAAACATGATTCTCACGTGTCCCCAATGTCAGTACCTAAATCAGTCTAACTGTGCGATGTCATTATATGAAGGATAACTTATTGAAATGACTAAAGCATATAGACTATAACACCGTCACGTCGTCATATTTATTAGCCACTGCCTTGTTATACGAAAAAAAGTGAAGCATTTAACGTAGGGCTAAGTTCTAGTATATAAATGTAATAGATCTTTATAGTAATACTTAACGGGTGTGGGGGAGGGGTATATAGTAGTAGACCTAGTTTTAGAAATAGATACAGATCCACTCTAAGAATATAAACGAATCTCGAGATAGAAAATTAATACGAAGTCAAAATAAAAGTGAGAGACCAACGCATATGAACCATAAAAATGAGACAAAACGAGAAAGGAACGGACTCAACATCAAGGGAAAAAAAAAAACAGGTGATGAATTAAACATTTTCTCCACCTTGGGCTAGACGAATAATTAAATCATAGAAAGATGAACTCAATTATTTTACTTTCAAATGACACCGATAGCCATCTTTGCCACCCTCTTGCATACTGAAGCAATAAATAGAAAAAAGCTACCAAATTCCGACCTTCGAAACACGTTTTACGGGTACGACTAGGTCGAATTTACTTTAAGCTGTCGATTCATTTTATGAAGACAGAATAAATCATTATATCTTTAAGGCACAGATTCTTGTCCCAACCCACAGACAGTTTTAGACCTACAGTATTTTACGTTTAAGATAAGAATAAAACATTTTTATTTGTATGTCAACTATCAGCCATGTGGGTAAAAAAATTAAGAAACTACTAAATCTAACAAATGTCATGTGTTTTACTGCCGGTGGAGACAGGCCGCTACTTTCACTTCGCTAACAATCAGAGAAATGAAAGAACTACCGATTGGTAAAATGCTCATGCCACGCCAATTTTACCATGTACACTTTAGTTACTCTTATTTTCTAAAATCAACGTTTAGATTTCAAGAAAGAACTGTCAGTATACAAAAAAGTAATGTTTATTGGAAAGAGTGTTGTTTTTATTTTTTTCATTATTTTAAATAAAAGTAATATAATACATGTATTATCCATATAATTACAGATGGGTATGCTCTACTATAGACCAACTCGTTCTCTGACTGAAATCATTACATAAAACGTCTTTATGCAATCGGCTTATCCCTGGGCTGCAAGTACAAGTCAACTATACCGTGCACACCTAATGCTGTCCGTTTACCTAATGAGATGCATGTTTTTATACAAGAACATATAGATGCCTGAGGCAATACGTAATTACTTATTACATGCGGAGGGACTTAATAATTTCAGTACTAGATCTAGAAATTACCTAGTCTAGATCTGCAGGAAATCGATGGGCACTAGTAATGAATAGTGAGAGTATATTTTTATGCATACTATATATACGTACACACTATATATAAATACACATATATATATAATATAAATATGTATTTATGGTGGTCAATGCAAATATGTAAAGCGTTCAATTAATACTGGGTGGTGGAAAGTGTGGTCACAAATGGATCGATTCTGAACTTCAAAGAGTTACTTGTAGAAAATGTACAACAGATGTTCAACTTTTCAAAAGAAGAGAAGGTCAAGTTGTATTTACATAATATCGTATCTCAAATTTTAAAAGTAATGACTTTTTTATGTACGCACAGACCCGCTAACAAGATGTTGAGAAAACTGTGTCCCTATGTAATCATTAAAAGCGACTTCTATTTGTCGTAAGGAGCAGACTTCCTAATTTTATCAAACTACCTCCTCATTCAAGAAACACTGAACTGATACAAAGTTAGAAAGCTCGCCATGTTCTCCAAAATACCACAACCAAAAAAATATCGCTGTCATAAAAAAATATCACTATCATAAAAAAAAAATATCACAATCATATAAAAAAAATATCACTATCATGAAAAGCCAAACAGACCTGTAAATTCCCTGAATCCTAACAGTGAGCACAACGTTATCTTCCTGAGCGATGCCCGTCCTCATTCAAATCACCGGCTCCCGCCGTATCAGACAGAGGCGGAGCTGACCGTTACGTAAGAATGAGTGGTGTACAGTATGCACGGACCCTCGCCAGCAAACAAACACACTGACACGAGAAGCCAGCAAAGCTACGTATAAAGTAAACCCTCCCAGCCAAGATGAATATATAATGTAACTCTGTGCATTATGCATGAGGGAGAACAAGCGAATACGTTTTAAACTGAAATAACGATCACGTCACACTTTCATATATGAATATGAGCAGAGAGGGAGGGAAGGGTCATGAAGGGGTGGTAGAATACGCGTGTAGCTGGCTCTAATATTAAAAAAAAAAAAATAAATTTCCATAACTTATCCCCCTGGTCGCTGTGCTGCTCATGTTTATGCAAATGAAGATTCGAAGGGAGAGCTGGCTCGAATTGTATGCTAATTAAGCGAACGCCTTCTCGTTTGCAAATCAATTAGATTCGGCTAATATTCTAGCAGGCCCCTGGTTCAGGTATATTTATGTAAGTTATGGTAATGGGATAGGGGGGCCCGCTAGACAAGTCCACACAGAATCGCCGCGAGCAGGATAATGCAAATGTTATGACAACTAGATCTAATGAATTAGTGAAGGGCCCGAGGCTTATATTGACAGATTGGAGGAATACGATTGAAATGATTACCGCCCGATTTCGATCGGTTATTAAAAAATCTCGCTCGTCTCCTTCTTCTTTTTTATTCAACAGAAACTACACTTCTGGCCACCCTATCTCAGCTGATTAAAGACGCATACGATATTAATGATATTAAATTATTCAGAGAAGCTTTTAATTTATTTTCTTTCTGATTTAATTTGAGGAAAAAATATTCAGTCATTAATTCTAATGATCCCCCTCAGCATGTATTAACTACTGGACAACTGTTCAGAGACAGGTACGACTATACCTCTGCGCGAGTTACCTTTAGAGCAGGCAATACAAGTAATGCTAACGCACCTAATTCTAGTACCAAATTAAACTACAACCATAGGCCCGACACTTTTTTGTTATAGTGCCCAATTAAAGAAACGTACCGCAGCAAATAGTCCACGAGTTACTGCGGGGACCAACTACGGATGCAGATCAATATACATTTAACGTTGTAATTACTGCGGGGCCCAGAAGAATCATGTCGGCGGTCTTGAGTGACGACAGGCTAACTACTACTAAGAGATCGAACATGAATTTCTTATTTTAGCATATTTACCCCCGCAACCTCCCTCAAAAGAAAACAACCCGTAATTCAGACAATAATTAATACATTTTTTTTCATTGCTTTTGTTCTTGAAATTATAATAATGTGCGAATTCAGATTTTTTGACACTTCTTGACACCCCCCCCCCCCAATGAAAATCTGAAAATCTCCAGCGAGGGATGAGATACACATCAATCGTATGCAGTGACAGAGTTTTTATCACCAGATGGTCAGCTCTTGACAAATCCAGTCGTGTGTGTGTGTGTGTGGGGGGGGGGGGGGGGGGGAGAAGAGATAAAAACAACCCGACAGATATATTTCCACTGAATCACGCATATTACGAAATTGCGGTAATTAAAGGCAACACAACTGTCTGAACATTCGTATTGGCATTGCAGTGAGTATCTTATTCTTGTAATTTCTGTTTATTTTTAGTTTAGGTGTATATATTTTACAGACACCGCTGACCCCCCCCCCCCCCCCCCCCCTAATAAAGCATGCTAAATTTACAATGTCTTACGCGTTTCGTGTTTTGAAAGTTTAATGTAATGGGATATTATTTAGGGGGGTGGAGGGGGAGAAAGAGAGAGGTCATTGATCGCTTAGAATGGCTTTATAGAACGCCCTATAAAGAATTTGAAAACTTTATTGATTACGTTTTCAATTTCACGCGTCTAATTATATGACGCCGCAAACGGTTTGCCATCAAAAGAATGAAACCTCTAAAATAGTGTTACGTAAGTATGGATAACTTCTAAAATTTCAAAGTCCCTGAGCATCCTACATCCTATTTTATTCTTCTGTTAGAACCAATTCAAAATTAATTATTTAAAACATATTACTTTATAAAGTTTTCATTCATACTGTTTACCCTTGGTAGTTAGTGTGTTTCTCTTAAGTGACTAAAAAATATACACGATAGTCACCATTTTGAGCACCCAAATCAACCAAGGTTTTTTTTCGTATGAAAATTTGATTGCTAATAATAACATTTTTCCTTAAAGAGATAGAACTAGCTAAATATAAAAAACAAACAACATAGGACAATAAATAAAATTCTAATAAAAAACTAACTTGTTTTTCATGATCCTCTGATCTAGAACTCATCATAACATTTCATACTTCTTACGCAGCCTGAAACAGACAATAAAAAGGCGATTTGAAGAGATCGTGCATGTTATAGAACCATAATAAATTACAGTATGGAAACAACATTAGGGGAGAAAAACGGGTGCGGTCAGGCTTACTTTATTGAAAACTACCCGCCTATACATTAACTCGCACACTGTGTTTAGATATTTTTTTTTAAAGTCTACTTCTTTTTTTTTTTACTAGCAGTGTGTGGACCACATATACTGAGAGATTTTGCTGGTTCTGAACGATACAGCCGGATAGCAACATACTAATTATTTGATTAACATAAATTAGAGCACTTATGAAAAGTGAATAGCACCACGTTATGGCACACTAAATTAGTTATTCTGTCTATCAGCGTGTACCACATTTAATCATCAGAATAGAGAGTTTTAATAATATGCTAGGGAAACAAGTTTTATCTGGCTACCACCCAGTTGCCAGCTTCGTGTCCAGATTGAGAGCAGAGGTAGATCTATAGTTAAACATTGGATAACAGAAAGACAACATTTGATGACTCATTATTCTTGACTAATTGTGATCCTTATCAGAGCGAAGACCGCAGTAAAGTAATTTTTGTTATTCATTGTGGTTAACTAATTGAATAGGTTACAAAAATTTACAGATGTAATAGGGTGGGGAAGGGGGGGGGGGGAGGATCAGTATTAATTGTTTGAAAAAAAAAAACCCCATTATTCTCATATGCCGTTGTCAATACATTTAGATACAATTTGTATTTTCATTAAAATTTGCTTTTTCCCCAACAAACAAATTATCACTAAGTTCTTCTAATATATTTGAAGAAAATATCAGGGCTGGGTGGGCTTTAAATATAATGTAACTTGATGTCCTAATAAACACTCTAGTGCTAAAACCAGGCACACAGCTAGGACAAAAGCCTCTGTAATTTAGTAAGTTAATGACCATACACTTCCTTTATGTGCTGTGACCAGGGAAACAGACACGCTTTGCTTTGTGTCCAACACACGACAGGCTACTACACAATTTAACAATACAGTTTAACAATAGGTGTTATAGCCCATACATTTTAGTACAGCGCGAATGGCTAATAATGATACTTAACTTAAAATCTCCCCCCCCCCCCCCCTATCAACGTTTTCAAACAAAACTTATTCAAATTTTAAAACTTACAATCAAATAAAAATTGCCAGTGTCAATAGTTTAAGTTACAAACTTAGGGTAAAATAGGCCAGCTTTAACAGGCTGATTGCGACGGGTCGTCTATAAATGACTTCACACGTAATGCCGATTCTCCCATCAGGAATATGCAGTGGCGTGGCGAGGTCGGGTGTCACCCGGTGCGGCACTTAATGGTGTCACCCCCTAGAGGCGTAGCTACCCTTCCCGGGGACAAACTTTCAAATTTTCGATTTGCAATCCCCTCAAGTTTTTCTCTATATATTTTGCTATTTTTTGCCTTGGTGTCACCCCCCTAAATGGTGTCCCCCCCCCGCTACGCCTCTGGGAATATGACATTTTATTGACGCTAACATAGGCCTTTTGTTAAAAGTTAAAACTAAAAAAAGAAATAGTTGGCTTTATGCTGATTTGTGTTAGGCATAGCCAAGTCTAGTGTTAATTAAGTACATTAAAATTTAATGTAGACATATTAATAAATATATAATAAACGCGAAGTGAGTAGTGAGATAATGTAGAATGCTGTAGTACTGGTAGTTGTGGGCTATATTTAACACTGCATTTTATTTTTAACATTGATTTCGTTGAATTTCTTCCAGAATAGTTGCTTATTAGTTAGTTATCAGTAATTAGATCCCACTGTCATAGACTTTTTCTTAAATAGGCATATGGTTATTAGCCATTTTTTTCTCTAATCTCTATTGAAGATATAGATCTAGGTCGAACAAGCGTCAGCGTTGTACTCGAGTGCGTGAATCCATAATTTATTTTTAAAAATCCGAACAGGTTTGACGTACTAAAAAGATGGTATTTAAAAAAAAAACTACAGGACAATGCAATTCTCTGCGTCTTCCCCCCCCCCCCCCCCCACCCCGTTTTACGTTGTTAGCGACAGTACCAGTATTAGATTTGTGCTGGAGACAGCGCTACGAAGAGATATTAGAAAAACAACACAACGTTTGAAGTTTGTATAAGTAGTTCTAGAATTGTAGTTTGCACAAACAATCTACTTTCCCCCCCCCCCCCCTTCTGTTAGGTCGTTGCTGTTGACCAATAAATGTCAACCATGGGAGAGGAGATAGGGGAGAAGTGTCAAACGTTTGGCGTGTGCTATACTGTGAATGGGCTATAAAATATATGACGAAGCACCGACTCACTATCTCTTAGATTTACCTGGGTAGACCTAATCTAAAATCTATAGGGATGAACAAATAAATATATCTGTAAAAAAAAAAAAAAAAACCAATTGGGTTTAAATCCGGCACCTAGACCTAGCCGAAATCTATTTTATTTGCACATTTATATAATTGTTATGGGTTATATATGACATATAAAAGACAATTCTTTGTGCTTATAAAAATGTAGGCCTAAGCCTAACTACTAGTCTAGGCGTTGACGACATCTAACTCATTGCAAGTTTATCTGTAGATTTCACCGCAAGGCTCTTGGTGCTAAGTCTAGAATCTAGATCTAGGCCGAGTCTATCTGGATAAAAGCATAACGTAAAAATCAAAGAAAAAAAAAAGCAACCTTTACCTATAGATAGGATTGGTAGACCCGGTAGACGACGTTACTTAATTTATGAGGCCTTAGCTAAAATTCTAAGTTTAGATCTATCTATTAATTAATATAATTTAATTAGACAAATCCAGACAAGCCCTGCCACTGATGCAAATAGTGGGCGGGGGAAAAGTTAAGCACCGCCACTTTTTGTCATCCATTGTAATGTACGCACGCAACCTTGACCTGGATCTATTTCTGATGTATAGACATTTTAATGTAAAAACGCACGCCATATAGATCTGGACTCTAGATTTCAGCCTAACAACTTATTATCCGCCTCTATTGCAGGGTTAGGGTTAAAAACTAAGTTTCACACTTACAGATCTACTATTTTTAAAAATCTTTTTTTTTTGGGCGGGGGGGGGGGGGGTATCTGGACATAAGAGTTTCTTCCGAAGAAGGACTAAAGGTCTACCGCCCCACCCCACAACAAAATGGAATTTATATAGAAAACATATACTTCTAGTATTGTCCCCCCCCCCCCCCCGGAGAAAAAGTCTGGAAGAAACACTGGACAAGATCCAAGAATTCTAGATGTAGTAGATTGTACTAGTCTAGATAAGCCAGCTGATTTGCCAGATATAGAGGTCTAGATCTAGTCAAGTATTAAATATGCCTAGATCTAGAATGAAACAAGGCTAGATCTAGAAATTTAGGGCTAGATAAATATGAATTCTGTCTAGAGTCTAGATATAGATCTACTAACCAGAGGCGTAGCGACCATTCCCGGCGCCCAAGGACAAACTTTTCGATTTGCACCCCCCCTCTCAAGATTTCGATTTGCACCCCCCCCCCACCCTTCAAAGTTTCAATGTGCACCCCCCCTCAACCTTTCAATTTATTTTTCCAACCCATTTTGGCGCCCCCCCCCTAAGGTCGGCGCCCGGGGACATAGCCCCCCCCCCCCCCGCTACTACTAACTAATCTAGAAATCTTTATAAGGTCTATATCTATATGTTAACTGGTCTAGATATAGAATCTAGACTTTAATCTAGATCTACTCTATATCTAGTCTAGATTCTAGACCTACTAGACTCAATAGTTAAATATAGTCTCGCAAAGTAGTTTTTAAAAAAAAAACAGGACTGGACTTTGCAAAATATGGGTAAAAATATCTAGATTTCTAGAAACCAGAGTTTCTTCCAAGCATCTTTTCGGGGGGGGGGGGGGGGGGGGGGGGGGGGCAAAGCCCCCCCGAAAATTTTTTACCGCCCCCCCGAACGAAATGAAATTTATATAATTTATATAGAAAATATATAGATTCTACTTTTAACAGTGTCCGCCCCCCCCCCCCCCCGAAGAAAGTTTACCGCCCCCCCCCCCCCCCCGGAGAAAAAAGTCTGGAAGAAACACTGCTAGAAACTAGATCTAGTCTAGACCTAACTAGTAGATATCTAGATCTAGAAATCTAGATTGAAACTAGATCTAGAATCTAATCTAGTCTAGAATCTAGATCTAGAATCTAGTCTTTAAGTCTAGTCTACAAGTCTACATTTATTTTGTTACTAGGGTCAGGGTCTAGATTCTAGATCTAGACTAGTCATAATTTAATTATAGATCTTGTAGAATCTAGATCTACTAGATCTAGATGTCTAAGTCTAGTCTAGATCTAGAATCTATACAATATTTTTTCCAACTTCGCAAGTTTTAATGTTTTTAGGGCTTACGCGAGGGCAGGGGAAAGCTATGAATATGTAACAGCCTTTTGTAACCTTTAACGAGAAAGCTCGTCTGGTAAAGCACCGCCATTTTGAATAATAAAATATTGAAAATTATCTTTCGGCAGGTCACGGAAACTAATAAGCTACAACATTTGTATTTTACTGTTAAACTGACATGCAATACTGTATTTGAACGAAACACGATTTAAGAATGTACAGATATACGTATTCAAATATAGTTCTTAAGCAACATACCTCTAGAAAACTACAATAACGTAAATCTTCTCACTCAAATAATTTTCCGATCGTTTACCATTGAATGCGACAAATACTATCTCTGCATCGATTGGCTCATTTTCAGTAGTATATATTTTGGGAAATAAAACAAATTAATTTAAATTTTTTAAATATCTTAAAATACTTATCGAAATTGCGAGGACTGTTTTGTTAAAATTTGGTTTAAATGAAAATGCATTTTTAAAATTATGAATTTTGTTTATTCAAATTTTGATCAACTTTCACTTTCAAATAGCCAATCAGTTTAAAGATATGAACAGATGCTTGGGCTGAGTAATTAATATTCATTATGAAACGGAACTTTTATGAAAAATAAAACAAAACAATCTGAAAACTTAGTGGCGCATATAGAGTCTAGATCTAGATCTACTAGATCTAGACCTAATTACTAATTATCACGTGCAATTTTTCTGTGTATGCTTAAACTTAAGCAATTGCATTTAAATTTATTAAATAAACGTTCCGAAAGGTTGCCATTGATAATTTACCCTACACATTTTTGTGATGGAATACATCGAAACTACCAGGCTTTCTAGTATTCACCAAACTTCTCTATCGGTTGCCTCGTCAAAATGAACCCTAGTGTAACTGTAAGCCAAACTAGAGAGCGAAGAAAAGCTCATAAGGGAAATAACTTAATTAATACGTAAACCAAAATTTGTAAAAATCAGTTATCGTTAATTTTATTTAAAAATAATTTTTTAGGCAAATAACATGGTGAAATAAGATCGATATTTAAGACAGCGGCAGTGCTATTGTCAAACAAGAAAACTTGAGTGTAAATTCTTAGTGCGCATGTTATAATTTTTTTTTATTTGAATGAAAATGTAGTTAAATATCCTTCATCATTTTCACAGGTCAACAAATCAGTTTATCTATATATTATTTATAGTACTAGCAATATTGCCCCAGTATAAACAGAGCCGGCGTTAGGAATACGCGGGGCCTAGGGCCAACCATCCGCGCGGGGCCTTTCCATTATATATATATATATATATATATATATATATATATGTGTGTATAAAGGCCTATATAATGTGATGTACACATAATAACACAAATGTTTTGGAGTTTATAAGCTAATGTCAAACTTTCCACTATAATAACAGATTTTTATCTCTCCCATGTATTAACCCAATGTTCGTAGTTTTTTTTCCTTTGCTAAGATATTAAATCACTTTTGACACTTAAGTAATTCATACCAAATCACTTAAGAAAATTTAATCACGTGCCGAATAATTTGGAAAATAAAGTTTACAATACACCGAACTCGGCCTGATGTATCAAAACAGTATAGACTTCAAAATTTGTTTAGAATTCATACAATATTTTAAAACCAAAAACATTATTGTCTTAATTATTGAACGGGTAAATCCTTAAGGTGACACAGCATAACAACAGTTTTAACTTTCTTCCAAAAAATAATAATAAATCACTCTGTTTAATGCCGCCTGATATAGATCCTAAGCCCCCCCCCCCCCCCCGTCGTCGTCGTCGCCCTCCTCCCACCCCTCTGCACGCGGCAACTGAATGTTAACTTTGTTATACCAAGACAAGTAGGCCTACATATAGAGTTTCTTCCAGGCATCTCTCCGGGGATGGGGGGGGGGGGGGGTCGGCGAAGAAAATCTACCACCCCTCTCCCCCCCCCCCCCCCGAAAATTTCAAGTGCCCCTACCCCCTGGAGAAAAAAGTCTGGAAGAAACACTGTACATATACGACATTATACGACATCTACAACAAGAAAGTCAGGACTAGAGCTCATCAGGTCACTAACGGTCTACTACAGACATCCCGTCTGCTCACTAAAAGGACGTCTTCGTGGGTCCGCATACAATAGGGTATCTCTTTACGTCGTGGGCTAATTCTCGACCGCCATCTCCAGTCAGCTCAGGTCAAATGCCAGGCGACCGTACCCTACACAAAGGGAAGGCGTGACACTATTTTTATATCGAATTACGGCCTTTCCCAGTTCATGTGGGTGATAACTCACCAACATCAACCGTGGCCTCAGTTATAACAATCAACAACGTCGGCATTCGACCATTTAGTTTTTCCCAATTGAATTCAGCAACAATTTTTTTTTAAGTTTACGAACTAATTCAGATAACAATGACATTGCTGAAGCGCGGGGCCCCTTCAAGCGCGGGGCCTATGGCGACCGCCCCGTTCGCCACCCCCTAACGCCGGCTCTGAGTATAAATGATCTATCTCGACATAACTGTGTCTCGACATAGTAGATTTTTAAAAATAAATACTGAGTCTGACATAATTTGGAGAAAATGTGATTGACATTTTGTGGTGCCGTGTGGCGATAATGGAAAGTTTTTTTTTACAGTTTTTAAAAATCACCAAACAAAATCGTGACTATGGACAAGCCCATACAACAATGCTATTTTGACAACCCTCAGTTATTATAAGGCATATAACATATCTAGTAACTCGGGTAATTATTACCTGCCACCCCACCCCGCTAAGCAGCAGGTTTCTTGTCCATTTCCAAACCTAATCGGGTTAAGGGTTTTGTGTTTCCCAACTGTTCGGATTCTATAGACATTATAGAATAGTCCCTACCGGAAATAATGCGAATTACGATTTATTATGTACTTTCGTCAGCACACTTCAGGATAGAATGATGGATTCTCACTTTGTCAATATAATGTAAGCCTATTATGCATACAATATATATTTTATAGAAGTCGGAAAAGGATGGTTTAATGTGAATTTTAAAAAAAAAGAGTACAGTAATCAAGACAAAATTTACAAAAAAGGGAGGCAGATCCCGCCTCGACGACCGCGTCGTGGGGCGCTCTCGAGAGCCATGGTCGGTTTAATAATCGAATTCATAGTGTATCGCATTCTTTAAAACGAACGTTGGCGCCACATTGTTCCGGGAGAGTCCGGAGCGCAAAATCATACTATGTTGGGCTGCCGGAGGACGCATCTGGTTAGATTTAGTCCTCCCCCCCCCCCCCCCCCCCCACCAAAAAAAAAAGATGCCTGCGTCCGTAAATGATATTGCGCACTTAGAAGAAGAAAGATGGTCTAATATTTGTTACGAGTTTGTTTTTACGTTATAATTTGGGGGAGGGGTGCATATCAATAATTTATGAAGAGCAAGTAAAATTAAAAATATATTTTAAGGTCGACATGAGATGCGATTATTGGCAAAATTCTTACTGTCAGTGTCATGAACGCTGGAAATTAACAGTGCTATATTTAAGTTTAAGGCCAGTTAAAAAAAAAAGCAGTATCTATCTAAATGGGTCGGCAAACAATCTAATACTTGTTAAAATGTGAAATAAAATGTTTTGTTATCGTCATGATGAAATTTGAATTCCCATTTGTTATTAATCTAATATTGTTATTCCAACTTGAACTTGAAGTCAAAATTTCTAATCAATGGTGTTTAATAAAAAAAAAAAAAAGAAAAATTGAAAAACCTATAATTTACATGAAACTTTATAAAAATCTGGTAAACACGGTGATGCCGACTAAAAACATACGAAAACATCAGAGCTAGCAAAACGAACTCAAAACTGCAGGTGTTTTTATTTACGTGCAACAATGGCACATCGGCTGTCGCACTTGAGATCCTTCGGAGTAAAATTTTCGGAAAATTATAGGGTTGCACAGATACAGCCTCTAATCCATCATGGAGTTGTAACAGTACAGTCAAAGTTTAACGACACTAAATGCAACTACTCTTCCACTTCGTTCAACAAAAACGAAACAACTGGAGGAAGGGGTGTGGCGGCTTTAACTGTTGCTGGAGCTACCATCCTTGGTATAAATAAATAGATTCTAGTATAATAATCCACATTAGGGGCCTAATAGATTCTATTTCTAATACTTACTTAACACTTATAATATTAATAGTATTAGTAACACTTAATAATAATTAGATCTAAATAAAACTAATAGGCCTAAAACTATTAACAAATAGGGCGGCCTTAGGGTTAGGCCTTAGATAATAATTTTAATAAGTCTTCATACTCAAAATTGAGTCAAAATCATAGTTCAAACTCAAGTTCACATCATAGGCCTGGCCTACTCTTTTAAATTTTAATTAATAATATGGGGATTTTACGTATAGGCCTAAATTCCTAAAATTAGGGCTAAATTAGAATATACACATATCATATACTATCTAGATCTAGTAGTACTTTACTTCTTAGATCTAGATCTAATCTAGGCCTAATTTTAAAATTTAGGCCTACTTTATTTACTAACACTTTTTTAGTTACTAGATCTGGTGACTAGTTACTACTAGATCTAGTTAGCCTATTAAAGTTTTTGTTTTGTGATTTTTAAGCCTAATACTAATCATAACATTTAACAAAAGTAAGCTTAACACTAGACACTTGAGAGCCTTAAATCTACTATGAAAATTTGGGGGATGAAGAAAGCACAGTGGTCCTACCAAGGCACTTTTGTTATGGCATTAAGTTGGCAAGAATCGCAAAAAAGTTATCAAATTTTTAAGAATGTTTTTATTTGTTATTAAAACATTGATCATAAATTTGGGCTTAGATCTAGATATGTTTTTTGTGTGTAGAATTTAAAATTGTACTCATTTTATACTTTTGGATAGAAGTATAAATATTTTTGTTAAGTAAACTATTGAATAAAGTTAAAACAGTTCTATTTTGTCATCGACCTTTTCGTTGCAAAATATGTGATTTATATAGCCTAATTAAAATTTTTTATTGAATAGGCCTTTATCTTATTATTATTGCTGCTTTGCATTGAACTAGCTGTTCAGTTTAAAATGCTTATAGATTCTGTAGAATAGCCTATAGACTATAGATTAACTTGTTTTAATTTGATGAACTATTGCCCACCAAACATCCGATCATTATAGCCTATATTTAATACTACATCTTCAAAATCTGAACATAAATGCTATAAAAACATTATATAAAAATGTAATTATTTTAAAGCCTTTTTTGTTTACAGCAGCTGGTCTGTATTTGAGGAATAGAAACGCAAAACATACTATCCAGAAGAACCAGCCTTTTAAAGTTGGAAAAGTGTTTGCCTCTGAGGGAATAGAATGTGGAAAACTTAAGTCAGAACTGCCACTCTACACAAAAGCAGATGTAGCTGCCCACAGCACTAAAGCAACTGGCATCTGGGTCACATATGGCAATGGTGTGTATGATATCACTAAATATGTAGAGGAGCACCCAGGGGGAAATAAAATTCTGTTAGGAGCCGGGAAATCAATTGAGCCCTTTTGGAGCATCTACTCTGTTCATAAAACTGAAGAAGTGTATGAGATCCTTGAAGGTTTCAGAATTGGAAACATCACAGAGGTTGATGCTAAAACATCCAAAGACTCAAGTGATCCCTATTGCAGAGACCCAGAGCGTTCACCATTATTGATTACAAGTTGTGAGAAACCTTACAATGCTGAGCCGCCCTCACAGATACTGGCTGATAATTTTCTGACTCCAAACAATGTGTTTTTTGTGAGGAACCATCTCCCGGTGCCTTGTGTTACTCTGGATGATTACTCCTTGCTGCTGCAAACCCCCACGTGTCAGGTCTCGTTAAGCTATGACGAGCTAAAGAGTAAATTCACCAAGAAATCAGTGACCGCGGTAACTCAGTGCGCAGGTAATCGTCGCAGTGAGATGGTTAATATCAAACCTGTCAAGGGACTTAACTGGGGTGTGGCGGCGATCAGCAATGCCAAATGGTCAGGTGTTACCTTGAATGACCTATTACGACATTATGGTGTGGACATTGATACCTTAACCTGCAAATACATAGTCTTTGAAGGTTTGGATTTGTGTCCCGATGGTGCTCCCTACGGAGCATCCATTCCTTTAGAGTTGGCTAAATCTTTAAAAAATGAAATCATCATTGCCTATGAGATGAATGGGGCTGTTATCCCACGTGACCATGGGTTCCCAGTTAGAGTGATGATTCCTGGAGTTGTTGGTGCTAGACAGGTAAATTTGATCCATTCTTTTTAGTTCTTAGTTTTTGCTAAATCCAACCCTATTAAGCAGGAAATAAATTTGTAACACTAACTGCTTGGTTGTATTCTTTAGATGGATTGACACTGGGCTGTAAGGCATCAAGCTATTATTTAAATATATTTTTCTTTATAAAGTGATTTAGCTAAGTGCTTAGAATACTAGAGTTTATTTCCCAGGATTGAGTCTTTAGGATGGCCTTGAGCTCCCAGCTCTGATGGGTTTCTGACTTGGGGGAAGGAAAGATATAGTGTTGGTCACTCCGTCCTTCTTCATGCTGAGGTCCCCATCAACCCTTAAAGATTGCTAGTTTTACCTTCCTTATTCTCATATAGCAAAAAGCAAAATGATTAGCTAGCTTATAACAGAATACAAGCAATTCAGTTTACTCACTTAAGATAAAGTGGTCAGTGTTTCTGCTTGCATCTTTGCTATTGATAGAGTTATGAATTTCAACATTATTAGTGATCCAGCTTTTATTAACACCTAACACCAGTTACAGAAAATTAACTATCTCTGAAATTGTGACAATCCTTCTTGAACTTTATCCGCAAAAACAAATACTTCGGCCGTGTAGCCTTGATATAGTGCTTATGTTTTTTAAACTGTAAACTGTACTTGATGTTTCAGGTTAAATGGTTGAAAAAAATTTACTTCAGTCCTGAGGAGAGCACATCACACTGGCAGAGATTGGATTACAAAGGATTTAATTCTTCCATTGATTGGCACAATGTGGATTTTAGTAAGGCAATGTCTATAACTCAAATGCCAGTGACTTCAGGCATCTGTGACCCTACAGAAGGCTCATTTGTAGATCCTGGATTAGAAGAGGTTTGGTTTTAATACATTTAATTCTAAAACCCCATAGAGAAAAGAAGTACATTCTAGATTTTTTAAAAAGTACTGGTTAGATTTGTTTGCAACTAACAAGGCACTGTAAAATTGCATCTAGTTTACATATAGTTTTTTTGATTGAAAATTCCATGTAGTTTACTAAAAGCTTGTCAGTTTTTAGAGTGCATATTAGTTTTAAAAATCGAGCACTTCAAATAATTAAATATTATGTGTACTGTTGAACTAACAATTTAAATTAGACTAGACAACCCTTTACCTGTTTGATAATGGTTAATCTACAGAAGAGCTCACAAAAATTACGCAAACAAAAATTACAGAACCCTTAATCCCCAATTTTATTGGGAGTTCCTTTAAAAATATCTTATTCTTTATGTCTTTCATGTAGGTAGAGGTGCGTGGTTACGCCTGGTCTGGCGGTGGCCGTGGCATAATTAGAGTAGATGTTTCAGCAGACGGAGGAGCCACCTGGCACGAAGCCAAGCTGAAACCTAACGGCCAGACCCTGTACACCTCTTATGCCTGGACTCTGTGGGAAGCCAGCGTGCCCCTGCCAAAAAGTGTTTCCAAGACCACCCTGATTGCCAAAGCGACAGACGTCTCATACAACGTGCAGCCAGACTCTGTGGAGGGCATCTGGAATCTTCGTGGCGTGCTCAGCAACGCCTGGCACAGAGTCAACATCAACCTGGCGCAGGACTCAGCGAACCCCCCAGCAGCAGCAGCTGCATGTTGAGGCATGGGCAGCGACGGCCTAGAAACATATATCAAGTATTAACTAATTATTCTCTTGACTAATGTTGCTTTGCAACTTCACTTCACATGGGTTGTGTTGACAGGTTTCCATGTACAATAACTTGCCATTCCACTTTACAACACATCAAAAAACCTGGGTGGATGTGTTCTTGATCATTGTGATAATTTATATTGCATTTACTGAATGTCCATTAGAATACACTATTTAAATATACAATTATTTATATTTCATTGTTAACAAAGTATATTAAACATAAAGGCTGCTTACTAATTAACAATTAAATGTGATGAAAAGGAAATACTTTATTTTAAACCTCAACTTTTTGCAGGTAACTTATCTAACTTCCTTGTGAGAGATTAAGAGTGCATTAAACCCATGTCTTTAATCTACACTTGAAATGTTGGAACCATTGTTTCTATTTATCTTTTGCTCTATTTACTGTGCCATGACTTTGAATTTCCTTGTTGGCTAAGATGGAAGATTATCAAGTACTCAATAAATCTAGCATAATTTCTATTAATTAATTGGAATATCTTTTTTAAAACATGCTTTTGTTTTGATAGGGATCTGAAATTTTTGTTTTGTTTTATTTTCTAAGTGGCTATTGCTATTCATCGTTATTATTTTATTTCTTTACTGGTATATTTCATGGCCTGGTCCAAACACTAGTACTACTGCCATCATTTAATTTTTTGATTGACATCAACTACTTATTTGTATGGTGTTACCATCAACCTGTTAGAGACCCTCACCTATTTGTTTGACAGCCACCATAAACTTTCTGACGAGTACCACCACAATGACAGCTGTGCCATCTGTTTCTCTCCTGCTGCTTGTGTAGTTGGTGGCTTCCTTTCACAGCTGTTACCATGTACATAAAGGGGAAAAAACTCCACTCATACTGGATTAAGGGCTTTTGATTTGTGTTTTAGTTCTATTCACAGTTTCAAAAGGTATCTTTTTAAGTTACAAACTATTGAACCATTTTTAAGATAGTGTAAACATGTGCTAACTGTATTCCAATTTGTATTTCATACTGTTATGTGTGATCTAAAATGTTTCAAAACTTGTTATTTACACCCCATAACACCTTAAGATGCCTATTTTTTGTTATCGGTGTCTAAAAAATGTGTTGCTTGGTGCTTCTACTATAGTTTGATCTATCTAATTAGGATTATTTAATATCCTTTACTTATCTAACTTATTGTTTAAATCACATTATATTACTGTTGGATTCTGCTGTTTAGTATTTTCCCAAATGTTGAACAGATAATATATTCAGTTATGGTGGACATTTTCAATTGAATTATATTGCTCATGTCTTCTAATCTCTTTGCGTCTATACTTCTTATGGGGACATAGAAATTAAGGAAACTCCTTGATCTTAGACTCCGTAATTGAACATGATCTATTATCTTGAGAAACTATCCCCCATAAAAAATTACAAATTTAGAAGGTGATATCTAAATAAACTGTCTCAAGGCCTGCTACTGTTTAATGGTCTACCCTTGTTATTTTTTGTTGTAAACACAAAGTATTCAGATATTTTTGCCAGTGAGCTTTACATCATCATGTGCATTAATTGTTTTAATACTCCATTGAACATAAAGACATAATAATTTGAATTACTAACATATGTAAGGTCAAGGATTGTTTTAATCAGAATTATTATGTAATCAATTTTTGGTATTGTATAGGGCTGTATATCAATACTTACTGTCAATACTACACAGTTTAATACATTCAACTGCTTACCCATATAGGATATATTGTATATAGCTTTACTGATTAACCGAACATTACCATTTTCACTGTCGCATCTTGTAATCTTACTAAATAATTTTCACTTTGAATGAGGCGTATAAATTATCTATGATCATTCTTTTTTCATTTACTTGTAAAAGTTAAAAAAATTTTTAAAAATCTTTTGAGTAAATAATACTATCACAAAAGATTTTCAAATTAAACAAAGCTATATTTTCTAGTACATTTGTGGGTATTTGAAGACTTCTATTTATATTGTTTCAATATCTGCACTGTTGTAACATGCTTTTATTGGGCCTGTTGGTTAATTTATTGTTTGTTGATTGCCTACTTCTGTTTATTGTTGAATTTTGTCTTGGCAAATTGAATAAACTTAATAAAAATAATTCATCTCTGTCTCTGTGACTGAAAATTGCGCTTCTGTGATTGAAAGTTGCGCTTTGTTGTGATATAAGAACTGTATTCTGCAATACACAATTTTTCAGGCAATTTTTTGTATTTTAAGAAATAGTTTATTTAGATTGACAAAAGATATGGATCACAATTTACCTTATGTAAGCTTGTAAAGACCTATTGGATATACAGACAGATAATACATATTAAAATTACAGTCTCAAGCTAATCAGTAATAATTTTAGTAATTTTAATACCAAATTTGATAGAACTTAAAACAATGCAACAGCTGCAAAGGTATCAATGTTCTAAGCAATAGCTTACTTGCATGTAAGATTAGTTGTAGCTGAGCTAGTAGATGCAAAATTACTTCGTACTTAAACATATTTCAGCTTAGCCAGTAAGACTTCATACTTGTTGAACAACAACATGAACTCAGGCAAAGACAGATGAAGCCAGTCCACAACTTGACTGGCAGTATAAAATCTCACAAGGCTGAAATATTTAGACCAGTTTGACAACACATAGGTTGCGTCCATGGTTGCCCTAAAAAAATTTTACCCTTATTATTTATAGATATGAATTAATCCCCAACTATATTAAACTGATTTATTTTTTTAGTCTTAAAACTTTTAATATAAATATGACAATTGTACTTTTTCTATGCTTACTGGTCACTAAAAAACGTGATACAATTTAAGAGATGAAATTCAATAAACAATTGGGAGGAAAAATCTATAATTGACATTTAACAGTTTTGAAAAAATGCACAAAATTATTAACTAAAATACAGCTAGACATACAGTAAGCTGACAATACTTAAAAAAAAAACAACAACCCTACAGTCAATAATGGTTTATCAACAATCAATAAAATATCACAAAAGGATCAATGTGTACAAAAGTTTTTAAATCTTTATAGACCTCTCAATAAAAGAGTTCCAAATAAATTTAGTAAAAATAAAAAATGCCCTTTTTTTTCTTTGATTGTAATAAATGCAAAGAAGTTATCACAAAAATGTATAAAATTAATAGAGAACCGGTATTTTAGAAAAATCCAGATATCAAATTAGAAAAAAACATCAAAGATTTGATGGAATGCTTTTTTAAAAAAAAAAAAACAACAGTTCCTTCAATCTTTGGATAAAAAATACATAGCCTACTCTTGTTTCTTGCAATATAGGCTACCCAATTTTTTGTTTCAACAATTTTAATTCTCAGTTAACAATACAAAACAGATATCTGTATATTTAAAAATAAATTACACTCAGAAAAACATAATTAATTGGAGACTATTCTGTCAATCAAACTGATCTTTTAATTAAACCTTAATTAATTCTACAAGTTCCATTTTGAGAAGAGTAAAACAGATTGATGTTTCTAAGAATGATAAGAACTCACAGATAGCACGCACATTTATTCTCATGCTTTTCATTTCAACACTTTATATTTCATAGGTATTTAAAAAAAAACGGAAAAGATTAATCAACCAGAAAAAAGTTAAAACAATTTTACAGTTTAACAAATTGTTAAAGTGATCTGAATTACAAATGTGTAAATCACATTGACAAACAAAAACTTAATAGTATTATTCCTGTTAATAGAAGTGATAACCACATGTCGGTTAATAACTTCAGGAAAAAAAGATTGCAGGACAATATGCAATTAATTGAAACAAGACCAAAAAAAATTTCACCTTTACAAATAATTGGACATACATTACTTATAATTTGCTTGCTCACAGGTCTATGAACAATTACATATATCTAAAATTTAAAGTTGCAGTGCTGTATGCTGCCTAGAAGAAGTTGGCATCCTTACAGTTAACAATGCATGCAACAAAACTTAGCCTTAAAAAACAATTCTGCATGCAAACAGCATTAAAAAAAAAATTCTTAGTTGTTCCTTTAGCTTATTTATGCATATAAAATATTGAATTTCAGGTGGTTAAATGATAAATAGTATTCAAATCTTAAATACAGCACTTGATTTTAAAAAGATTGAATCAATAATATTAAATTAATATTTCTAGTTTTGTAATTTTCCATTAAACACAACTTGATTTAATGTAAATAATTAAGCATTCTACACAACCATATATTTATAATTTTTAACACCTATTAGAGCTGGTATATGGATGTTTTCAGTAGGTTCTGGATTACTGTTTTCCTTTCTTGCGCACAACAAAGATGTATACCAGGGCAATGGTTATGATAATTGCTACAGCCACAAGCAGAGTCCCAACAATAATAGGAACGAGATGACTGTTTTCCTCCTCAGCTAAAAACAACAGAATTCATAGGTCAAACATTTTTTTAAAACAAATTCTAAATAATTCTTCTTTTTAATTAAATTTAGTTATCTCCAAGTAAATATAATTTTTGTGCCTTAGAATATATATATGTATATATATTTTAAAAAATGCAACAAATCTTGGTAGGGTTTCATGTCATTTTAATGATAAATAAACAAAATACCAATAATTAGGTTAATAACTATCTTCTGCATTTGAATTATTTGTAATAAAATAGTAATCTATAAATTCATTTCAAATAGGCATTTATATAATTGTTGACTGCATATGTAAGAAAATTGGAGCTTTTTTAAAATTTCTTACGTTTGGCAGCATAGAACGTGGCATTGAATCCACCACTGTTGAATTCCATATCAGCATTGAAGACAACTAACATATCACTTCCTGTACTGCGGTATTTAGGTCTGTCATCTCCACACCACCTTCCTATGTACTTGTCCATTTTCTTTTCCAATCCTATAAAAACATACAGATAAACAAATCATAATCAAGTTTTTTTTCATAATAAGTAATTGCAATATTGGGAAAATTTGAATTGTGTGCAATTTAAAAAATACATAATTGGAAGTAAAATAAAAAAAAGAAACCACATCTAATAATGATAGTGTAATTTAGTATAAACATAATTTTCCTGTAGTTAAAGACAATAAAATAAAAACAGTGCACACTATAGGTTACCATTGTATACTTGTACTGTATCACTACAATCACTCTCCATCTTTGAATGTGAAACCTCTAATTTGATAAAATGGCCATCTGGGGCATGTATCTTGTATTCACAATAGCTGTTTCTATAGTCAAATTAAAAAAAAACAATATTCAAATTCAACACCTAAAAATTATAAATAAAACTATTTAAAATAATGTAAAATATGGAAGAAAGATATCAATACCAACATACTGATTCTAATTATTAAATGGATTAGATAAAGTGATACTTACATGGGGTAATAAAGGGGATAATTTGGTGAAGTCAAATGCTGCAGTGTTGAATTTGCCTCTAGATGTGATACCCTTTCACAGCCGCCACGCTCTTTGTGGGAGAAAAAAAATATAGCGATTTATTTTTTAATTGTCAATCTTTTTCCAGAGTTGGGCTAAGAAATTGGCCATAGACATTACTGTCCAAAGGGGGAGAATTCAGAATTTTGTGATGAGGGGAGGGGTGTCAGAAACGGTGACACAACACCTTTGCATTTCAAAAGTAATATTTAAACCATTTTTAACAGTTAGCTTGCATTTTCAATGAATTTTTTAAAAATAAAATTGCAAAATTTTGTAATAAAAAATGGTTGTCAAAGTTAGTTACCATTTATAAAAGACAGCAATTACAAATACTGCAAAAAAAAAAAATTCTAACAAAAAACATGTCATTGGTATAAAATCTGGCAAACATTTTACACAATTCTGTCTTATTCTGGTAATTTAAACTGATAATGCCCTTGAACTTACTAGGGAAAGCATAATATGTCATGTTGACTCCATCATAGCTGTCAGTGCTGTCTGTGTGGACAACGACCAGCATGCTTGGTCCAGTGCTGGTGACTTTTCTCCCCTGACCTTTAACCCCACACCAGATTAATAAAATATGGCTGTCTGTGTTTGGCCCTAGGCATTATATAAAAAAAAAAGTAATTCAGGTGTATCAGATATAAAAATCTATATAATTGTTATATTATTTAATTAAATAAAATGTTAATAAATCATTGTGTAGGGTTTACTCCATTTATTCATTATTGTAAACATGATACACGGACAAAATAAAAAGTTGAAATATAATTTCTAATGAAAACAATTCTGAAGAATCTGATGAAAAAAAAGATAGATCTTTAAGAATTTCTTACCATCATAAAATGTCACTCTATCACCATCTTTGCAATCAAATTTATTGCTAGGCACCAACCGACCCTTTATGCTTATTTCTACAACATCAGAGTTTCTCTCGGTTTTGATCAAATAATTACAGTTCAGATCACTGTGAAAAAATGGGAATATTAAAAATATTTGTCATCTAATTTGGTTGATTAAACCTGAATATGAAAACACTATGAAAAATCTGTCTTTAAGTCTGACAACAAAGTTGGATGCTAGGCAGTTAGAGGCAGTGGCATCAGAGTTTCTTCCAGGCATCTCTTCGGGGGGGGGGGGGGGGGGTCAAGGCCCCCCCCCCCTGAAGAAAGTCTACTGCCCCCCCCCCCCCCCTGAACGAGGTGGAATTTATATAGCAAAAATATACTTTTACTAGTGTCCGTCCCCCGGAAAATGTTGACCCCCCCCCCCCCCCCTGAGAAAAAAGTCTGGAAGAAACACTGAGTGGCATAGCAAGGAATGTAGTATGAGGGTTGTGTTAATAAAATAAACTGTCATTTTGAAGGGTCCGTGGGGTCTGGTGCCCCCCCCCCCCCCCTTTCCTCAAACAACCTCTGCCACAGGATGGTAGTCACTGACCCTGGAAATACTCGGCTTTCTTAAAACATGACATAGATGTTGTGGGGACATTTGATAAAATTTAATTATATATTGTCCTGTGCATAATTATTAATTAGGCCAGGAACTGAGTCTCTAGCTCCAATGCAGCTATTATTTTTATTATTCATATGAACTACTTTTACCAGTTTCAGTTGTTTAGTTAAAATGTGGGATGCAGTAGTTATTATGCTCATCAACTATGAAAAATTTAAGTGAACTAAAAGTTTGAATATAACTAATAATTTTAAATTTGTCTTTTACTTACAGAATATTAAAAAGATATCCAGATCTATATGCACCAAAGGGCATTAACTAATGATCAATATTTTACCAAAAATAATACTTAAGCAGACTCACTGTGGGTATCCAGATTTAGCATTAGCAATTTCTGGCAAATGTTTTATTTCATCATGAATGGCATACTTAATCTCTGCTTGACCATTGCATGTTGATTCTAATATATAAAATAAACAAAATGTTTTATAAGTTTGCGCTTTTTATAATAGCCAAGTCTACATCTATGTTAACATGTGAGGCCTAGAATAATAGATCTAATCTAGATCTAGATCTAGTTATAATATTAATTTAATAATAGGTGACACCTAAAGCCTTTTTGTTTTTTTTAAAAATAGTAAATAAAATGTTAAGCATACTTATTTCAATATTAATGCCATAGGGCCTAAATAAAATAAATATTAGGTTACACTTAGCAAATTAAGCTAATTTTCCATCCTTGTTTTTTAAATAGTAGTTTCTACTGTCAAATTCATTCAAAACAAATGTATTTTTCATATTTTTCATTGTAGTGACACTTGTCTTTTTAAAATTAATTTTAAGAAGTAGGACCCTATAAATTTTAATTTCTTTTTAAACTAACCTAATTTCAAATACCTTATTGGCCTCAACTTTTCCGGGAGACAACTTACCAACGGCGGACGCCTTCAAGTAAACCAGCTCTGTTGTCATTTCATTGACTGGGTTCAAGACCATGTTGTGTGAAGTGCTGGTGAAAATTTTCTCATCACAGAGATTGCCGATTAACTTTTTGGACAAATCAAAACCTGTGAAAGGGAAACAACTCATTCCTAATGATAATAGTTAGCAAACTAGGGGAGGTAAACGCAGAGATAAACATTGAACTATCTTTAAAAGTCAGATTAATAAAAGCTTCAAACAAACTACGCAAAACTGACAAGATTATTTTACAAGTAATTGACAAAACAGTTTTAAATATTTTTTTACATAATCCGACACCATATTTTATTACTAAACATTGTAGAGCTATAAGTAAAAAAAAAAATAAATATTTTAATTAACAAAACAGTTATATTCAACATTGTTTTAAAAAAAAAAAAAAAAAAAAAAAAAAAAAAAAAAAAAAAAAAAAGCATTCAAGTCCAGATAAAAAATTACCAAACCCCCTACCCCCCAAATTTAATCCAGAGTTTCTTCCAGGCATCTCTTCGGGGGCACCGCCCCCCCCCCCCCGAAAAAAGTCTACCCCCCCCCCCCCCGAACGAAATGGAATTTTTATAGAAAATATATACTTTTTACAGTGTCCGCCCCCCCGGAAATTGTTGACCGCCTCCCCCGAAAATTTCAAGTGCACCCCCGGAGGAAAACGTCTGGAAGAAACACTGATCTAATCTTAATAATCATACTTTAGACTCTTGTATTATCCCCCCCCCCCAACATATATGCCCCCCCCCCCCGTTTACCCCACGCTTAAGCACCTATAAACCTTAAGGTATTAGAAAAAGGATGTGTTAAAATTAAGATGTGTTAAAATTTGCGTTGTTCTAAACTTAAGATGTGTTAAAAATTGAGTTGTTCTAAAATTAAGATGTATCAAATTAAGGATAATTTATATAATAATATCACATGTATGCATTCATGTATGCAACCTACTCAAACTGCCTAAACCCCGTGCTGGAATGGGAAAGCAGTAATATAAGGGAGAAAAATATCTTTACAATTTATGACCATGTCTTTGAAACTGAAACTACAAAATAAATTTTGAATTTATTATTGTTTATGATTAAATTTGTAAATAAATTTATTTTAAAAAATGCGAAAAAAAAATAAATAAATAAAGTTCTCCCTAGACCAGGGGTCGGCAACCTTTTGAGACGGAAGAGCCAAAAGTTACAATCCACCAAATTTCTAAATTTTTAAAGAGCCACTTACATTTTTTATGTGCACTTCGCACTGGTCGTTGGTTGACTTTAATTATCAGTAACTAAAATATTCATCTTAACATCTTTTCCTATGTAAATCTGTATATTTTGCAGTTGGTGTCACCCTTGGGTGATAGCGTTATAGTGTGTACAGTTAACAGTAACGATGTTTATAGTAGGTTATTAAAACAGTTGGACGTAGCATTGTTTTCTCTATAGTTAGCAGGTTTACAACATGGTGTCACCTCCCCACCCTTGTTGGGATTTGTGAATGTGTATTTAAAAGACTTAATCACTCTAATTAAGCATTAGCTAACAGGCAAAAGCAATTTATCATCTATATATTTTGCAATTTTTGTTGTCTTGATGTCACCTCCTAAATGGTGTCACCTGGTGCACCCCTCTCTCGCGACGCCTCTGCTCTACTCCACCTATTCTTATTGTTTTTATTTTGTTTAAAGCTGTTTCTGTTTTCACAGTAAACTATTTTTTTTAGTTTTGAAAATAAAATAATATAATTATTATGGAACTGGAGAGCCGCATATTGATATCAAAAGAGCCACGTGCGACTCGCGAGCCGCAGGTTGCCGACCCCTGCCTTAGACCGTTTAATATAATAAATATGTAATTTGATTTTTTTAAATTAACAGTTAGTACCATTTCTAAATAGTATTATTGGATCCACTATTTATGAAATTTAAAAGAATAAACCGGGAGTGATCCCCCCTAAACTTTCTCGAATATTCTTATATAAAATAACAGGGGATGGGAACTCGGGCTATAGACATGATTTTTAATCCATTTTAAATACTTAACGTTTTAAAAATATAATAAAATAAAATCTCGTAGACAAGTTAATTGCACACCAAGTGAACGCCAAATAAAAAAGCGCATAATAGTGCGCAATAGTATTAGTACTTTTAAAATTTACATTAGTTTTTTGAGAAATCGGAAGTAGCGTAAATTACTACTTCCAGTCAACGGAAATTACTCAAAATTTAACAGAAGGTAGAGAATTAGATCTTTTACTTACATGTGAAATTTCATTTATCTATCTGAAATAGTACTCAAGTTATAGGCTTTTGAAAAATTCAAAGTAGGAAAAGTACCACTTCCGGTTATCGGAAATCGCTCAAAAGTTAATACGGATCTACGATTTTGATAAAATACTTATATATGAAATTTCATCAACCTAGCTGTAACGGTACTCAAGTTATCGTGTTTACACACGGACAGACAGACAGACAGACAGACAGACACACAGACATACGGACAAGATTGCAAAATTATGTTTTTCCGTATCAGTGAGGTGTAAAACGTCGAGATTTGTAAAAATCTCGATTTTTTTTTGCACGATTACAAGACTTTCTCTATACTTTGTATATACGAGAAAGTAAAAAAGGCCAAAATGTTTTGGAGGCGTTGGACAAATATTAAAATATTGGGTTTAGTATCTGTTCTTTTACATTAGGCTCGTACATTGACATTTATATATTTAGGTATTTCAATTGGATGTTTTATGTTTCACCTTTTGGATTTATGTTAATTATTATTTCTGTTAAACACACAAAAACATAACCAGAGTGCTAAAATACACTAAAACATTCTCTGCAGCGTTCCTTTTAGATATATTTCTCCTCGGAGAATGCCAGGAAGAAACACTTAAAAACAATCACAGCATGCTAAAATCACACATAAACATTATCAGAATGCTATAGGGCTGCTAAGTAAGTCCCCAACCAGTTCTACGGCTCAATAAAACCTACATGAGCCATAGAACTGGTTGGTGACCTACTTACCAGCCCTATAATAACACTAAAAAAGAAAAAAAAAACCCATCTTGTTTCCAATCGGGGACAAGAAATGACATGAAAGGAAAACAAAAAAATGATCTTGTCCAGATAATCACCGCCAAAAAGTTAACCCCCGCCACCCAAAGAAGATTATAAAAAGAATATGAAACTTGTACCTTCAGATTTTATTGAACAGGGAGAAATCAGGACATGTCATTAATAATTGGCTTGTATTTTGGTACAACTCTAACTTTGACCCTAACCCTAACCCTAGCCCCCAACCCTTACACTAACCCTAGAGGCGGATAAGGAGTTGGTTTCTATGGCGTGCATTAAATTTTTCAAATGTCTAGATATCAGAAATATATTATCTAGATCACAAGTACCGGGGCTTAACTTTTTACCTGTGCACGCTTTGCATTAGTGGCGGGGCTTACTTGGAAAAGATCCAATACAACCACATGGAAAGAAAAATACACACAGCTACATCAATCTACAATCAAACTAAAATTGACACTATACCATCGTGTGCCCTGGTGCCCTTGTTACTACACACAGCTACATCAATCTACTATCAAACTAAAATTGACATTATACCATCGTTGGCCCTGGTGCCCGGGCTTACCAGAAAAAGATCCAGCACAACCACACGGAAAGAAAAACTACACACAGCTACATCAATCTACAATCAAACTAAAATTGACACTATACCATCGTGTGCCCTGGTGCCCTTGTTACTACACACAGCTACATCAATCTACAATCAAACTAAAATTGACATTATACCATCGTTGGCCCTGGTGCCCGGGCTTACCAGAAAAAGATCCAGCACAACCACACGGAAAGAAAAACTACACACAGCTACATCAATCTACAATCAAACTAAAATTGACATTATACCATCGTTGGCCCTGGTGCCCGGGCTTACCAGAAAAAGATCCAGCACAACCACACGGAAAGAAAAACTACACACAGCTACATCAATCTACAATCAAACTAAAATTGACATTATACCATCGTTGGCCCTGGTGCCCGGGCTTACCCGGAAAAGATCCAGCACAACCACATGGAAAGAAAAATACACACAGCTACATCAATCTACAATCAAACTAAAATTGACACAATACCATCGTGGGCCCTTGTGCCCTTGTTCCCACAGGGAGGGTCTTTGGTGATGACCTCCAACCTCACACTTTGAGAATCCTTCTCTGTCCAGAATCGCAGAGGGCAGGCTCTAGTACTGGAGATGATACATGTTCGGATTGAGTGGTGAATCTGGAATCTTACGTGATGGGTAGTGGCGCCTTATCTTTGTTTGTGCAGGAATGTTTTTTAATTTTTAGACAGGGACGTGTAGAGAGCTAATCCCCCCCCCCCACCCCAGTTTGACTCCCCCCACCTCCATCCAACCGAAAGTCAAATAAGCTCGTATTTAACACTTAAGTTGTCATTAGTAAATAACAACACTCACAGGAGGGAATAAGGATTCTAGGTCAGGGGTCGGCAACCTTTTGAGACAGAAGAGCCAAAAGTTACAATTTTCAATTTTCCAGTTTTTATAAAGAGCCACTAACATTTTTTATTTTAATATTATGGCATTTAATTAGGATTAGGTGAATAAATATTATTTTTTATTTGAAATAAATAGCTTTATATTTAAAATAATATTCATTCATATAAAAACGCACAAATGTTACGGACATCACCGGCTCTGGAGGTCTTTCAGTAGCGTAGCGAGGGAGGGGGAGGGAGACATATGTCCCCGGGCGCCGACCTAAGGGGGCGCCAAAATGGGTTGGATAAATAAATTGAAAGGTTGAGGGGGGTGCAAATGGAAAGTTTGAGGGGGCGGGTGCAAATCAAAATCTTGAGTGGGGGGGGGGGGTGCAAATCGAAAGTTTGAGGGGGGGGGGTGCAAATCGAAATCTTGAGGGGGGGTGGTGCAAATCGAAATCTTGAGGGGGGGGGGGTGCAAATCGAAAAGTTTGTCCCCGGGCGCCGGGAAGGGTCGCTACGCCTCTGAAGTCTTTAGTATCTTCCATTAGCCAGGCAGAACTCAACACTTCAAACTCCGACTAGACTGGCTTGGATATCGGTTTGATTACCGTATTGGTCACTTCTGTCCAGTTCACACCTGACACACCTTCCACCCTACTTGTACCCTACCGTCCAGTACCCGGCTCAACCGTACAAAGATAACTAAAAAAAACTTAGTAATTCAGGTCTAATTAATGCATACTGACAGATAGAGAAATGCATTCTGAATAAAATAGCATCCACTATTGAACGATATTTGAAAAAGTCGGCAGTGGCAAGCCTGGAACCATCGACACTGGGCTGTCTTGGGGCTCGGCCTGGTACCCAAGCGGCTTTCTACCTCACCCGCTATCACTGTTCTCTAAAGAGTGTTTTTTCCCGTGTTAAAGTTGTTTTTCTTTTCAGTATAATATTTATTGTGAGTGTTGAAAATGAAATAACATGTGTGTATGGAACTCGAGAGCCGCATCCTGACATCAAAAGAGCCGCATGTGGCTCGCGAGCCGCAGGTTGCCGACCCCTGGACTAACCAAAGGACTAAGAACAGTGCAGATTTGTCCCTTTTGTAAGGAATCCAGAAATATGTATGGTTAGATACATAATCTCGTAGTTCAGTATTTTAACACTATTTATATAATGATTCTTAAAAAATAAAGCTAATGTGTCTCTATTCTAAGTAAAAATATGGTATTAGTTGTATTTCATTTTTATCTATAACTAGTACAAAATTATTTGCCTATTGTACAATTGCCTACATTTTATAAATAAAACAATAAATAGAGATAGTGTATTTTGTTATGAGTTGTTAGATTCGTATTTGTTTGAGTTATTTTGTTAAGTTATTTCCCTTGCATTGAAAAATTGTGTCTCTTCTGTAAAAATATCTTATGCATCTTTTTACTTTCTCGTATAAACGAGAGAAAGTCTTGTAATAGTGCACAATTTTTTTAGCGCAATTTCCATTATGGAGAATTGCGTTTATTAACTCGTCATTTCTGGGAATGGATGGATGAATGAATGAATGTATGGATGTATGTGTGTCCGCAGCTTTAAGTCGTATCTCCTCCTCAACGAAGCAATATCGAGGACTAGTTCCAAAAGCAATTATGTTAAGCAAGTTACGAGGATGAACATAGGCCAAAAAAATTCCGGGTTTCTTTCATGGATTTCCCGGAAAAGCCAAAAAACCTCGAAAAAATGCAGTTTTTTTACTCAGACCACTTAGCGACTTGAAACATGTACCAATCGATTCCTGCCATAATTTAGAACAATATTGCCGAAGAAAGTTTTCAAAAATATCCTTTCGTTCGGTCACAAAGTTTTTTTTAATTAATTAAAATTTGGACCGAATTAGTAGGCATTTTATGCAACCACACCACACGCGTCATCACGTTCAATAGCTGCGCCATCACGTTCAATGGCTGCGACATCACGTTCGGTAGCTAGGCGCGCAATGGTTTTTAGTCATGTAACTCTATTGTAAATAAAACATGTAAAATACTGAAATTTTTTTTTTAATAAAAAACGTTTTAATAACTAACCAATGGTTTTACTAACCCTGCTCTTGATTTACGCTACGACAGAGCTATTTTTAGATAACATAAGGAAATTGCGCTTAAATGTCACTAGACTTTTTAATTAACTTGTTTTGTTTTAAAAATCGAGATTTTTGCAAATCTCGACGTTTTACAGCTCCCTGAGTCTTGTTTTGTAAAGAGCCACTAACATTTTTATATCAATATTTGATTGGATTAGAATGAGTTTAATATATTTAATTTTTTATTTAAAAAAAAAATTGCCTTAAATATGAAATCATATTTATTCATATAAAAACAGAAACTGTTTCGCACAAAACTTCAAAGTATTTTAGTTAGCTCTGTTAGAATAATAAAATTAGTAATTAAATAATGTAGCTATAGAACTATCCCTACCCACTTTAGAAGCTAATATAACTAAAAAAAACGCACTCAGGTCAAACTAAAGCATACTGACAGATATATGCACTCTGAATAAAATAACATTCCCCATTTAACTATATTCGAAAAAGTCGGCACTTGGGCTGTGGCAAGCATGGAATGGTTGTCAAGGGGCTCGCTACAGCGTGGCTGTGGTGTTGGGCCTGGTACCCAAGCGGCTGTCTGTATACTTTCTGCTGCACCTATTCTCACTGTTCGCTGATGCGTTTTTCACTTCTATTTAAACTTGTGTTTCCTAACAATTTAGTTTTAAAAATGAAATAATATAACTATTAACATTTGTGCAAGGACCTGGAGAGCCGCATCTTGACATCAAAAGAGCCGCATGCGGCTCGCGAGCCGCGGGTTGCCGACCCCTGTTATAGGTTTTTTCCCAGCCGATGCAATTTGGGAGGGTGGGGGTGGTGGCTGAGAAAATTGGGGTGGGGGGGATGTTCATAAATGTATTTTGTATTGAGGACAAAAACAAAGAAAAAAAGATGTTCATTTTTGTAACAACCCATGATACTTTTTTGTTTATTAGGAGATATTGATAGACCAATGCAGGGTGTAGATTTTTGTTGCGGATGAATTTCGCCGTTAAGTTGGGGGGGGGGGGGGAGGGACGGGGGGGGGGACAGAATGATGCAGAGGCGTAGCGACCCTTCCCGGGGACAAACTTTCGATTTGCACCCCCCTCAAACTTTCGATTTGCACCCCCCCCCCTCAAGATTTCGATTTGCACCCCCAACCTTTCAATTTATTTTTCCAACCCATTTTGGCGCCCCCAAAGGTCGGCGCCCGGGGACATATGTATGGTGTAGATTTTAGTTGCGTATGATATGACTTTCGGGACTAATTTGGCGGGAGGGGGGGAGGGGTTCGCCAAGTCAGTTATCACTATATTTTAAAATTTTAATAAACATATATTTAAAATTTTTAAAAATTACATTTAAAGTTATTTTGTAAAAAAAAAATGTTTTGCCATTAAAAAAAAAACAACAACAAACCATCTCACCTTTTAATTTTGACGAAATGCGGAAACGGCAGGTACACGGGTAACTGTGTCAGCTCCAGGTTTGGTATTGACGAGTCGCTGCAATGTGCTGGTGAAAACATGGGGAACAGAAAGTATCTTTTTAAACACTAGAACATTCTAAAAATGGAGGTGTTTGCTTGGCGGAAGTGTGAGTGGTAGCTGGGGATAGCGCTTGACTGCTAAACCCACAAATTCCGAGTTCGGACTCCCCACGGCAGATGTAGCCCATTTGCCGGGGAAATCAACTCATATAGGAAAGACAACTCCAAAATAAAACAAAAACTTCTGTCATGCATGTTGTTCTTGTGTGGATAAAGGCTAAGGAAGCAAATCCAGAAAGAAAAGCAGGCAGGAGTCAGGAATCAACAGAACCCATGACGGCTTATCACGGCGAGACGTAATTCTTAATTGTGTTGGAGGAGATCCCCTCCAATATAACAATAAAAAAAACAACCAAGAAAAAGTGATTTATACAAATTGATTCTTGTTGTAAGTGCTAACCCTATCCACAAAACTCTCTTACTAGCAAACTAACCCCAGCATTTCATGATCAGCTCGGACAGTGCTGTTCCAGGCATCCCCCCTACTTCCCATCCCTTTGAACGAAATAGAATTTATGAAAAAATATAATATACTTTTACCAGCGACCCCCCCCCCCAGGTCCCGAACCACCGCTCGTCTATGTGATAATATAATTAAAATAAAAGCCCTAATTATAGATACTACCACACTTGAGCTTGGTCCTAAACTTGTTATATTTAGTACAGAACCCTTTCTGATCTGAAGGCAAATGAAACAGGTGAAGTAGAACGGAACTGTTTCTGTATGAAGGTATGCGAGTCAGCTCTCTGTCTCAGATAACCATCAGCAGAGTTTCTTCCAGGCATCTCTTCGGAGCCCCCCCCCCCGAAGAAAGTCTACCCCCCCTCGTACAAAATATAAGTGTCCGCCCCCCCCCCAGGAAAATGGAAAATGTTGCCACCCCCCCCTCCCCCCCCCCCGAAAATCCCTCGTGCCCCCCCCCCCCCCCCTCCGAGGAGAAGAAAGTCTGGAAGAATCACTGACCATTAGAGCTGGATTCAAGAACGTCTTATATACTCAAACCCGAGAACCGAACTCGAGAATATTGGGATAGTAACTTCTACTTCTCGACCAGATTTACGCCAATTTTTATTTTTGCTACTTGGAAGTGCCGATATTGTAAAAAAAAAAGTTCACATGATCACAAAGGCTCCTTCCTTACTTGATCGAATATTGGTTGTGACCTTTGCCCTGAACACCAGCCAATCGCTGTACGTCGCTACTATCTTAAACCGGATGAACAGATCCTTCCCGGAACTAGCCAGATAACGAAATGGTTGATTTGACGAGCACCAGTTCAAGATCTCCGCGCCGTCATCGTTTGGACCTGGAATAAAAGCAAACAAGAAAGTACTGGCAGTAATCATACACCTTTTAGCATAGTTTGCACAAAAATTAAAGAATTAATTTATTACTTGTTGAGAATGCTTAGTTTAAAACTAAGAGTACGACTGAGGACCTATAATTAATTTATAAACGATGTCATGTAGTTTTAACCAATTTGCGTACCCTATATCTATAACAAAGTGCCTAATATAGACCTATGGAGAAAGACAATGACGTCGTCAGGGATAAGGGGGGGAAGATGCTTTAAATAAAACTCTGCTGCGGATACTGCTACAGTTTCCAGAGGAGTGGCCAAGCAGTAGAGCGTACAATCAGTAACTCAAAAGTCACGAGTTCAGTTCACAGTCTCAAGTGTTCTTAAAATGTCACTGAGTCCATCCAGCTCTAGTAGCTACCTAAAGAGGTTAAGGCAAATGTACATAGTGCTGACATGCTGAGGCCAGAGAAACACCGAACTCTACTTCATCTGCCTTGTGTACATTTTGGCCTGAAAGGGTTCGTTTTTTAAAATCAATTTTTTTAGTCGTGGTACTGGTAACTCGTCCTAGCTTCTTGTCCATAAATGACGTCATACATTTTCCCGATTTTTTCCCGCTCTTCTCTCGGCAAACATCGTCACGCATCGTCAGACTTTGTCACACATTGTCACAAAAAAACCCTCACCGGATCCTCCCCTACCTACACAAATTGATGCTTTTCCCAACTAACGTCGTAAATGTTAAAATTTCGACCTACCATCGTAAATGTTAAATTTCAATCTGACATCGTAAATGTTTGAGTTTTGACCTACTATCGTTAATGTTAAAGCTTCGACCTACCATCGAAAATATTAAAATTTCAACCTAACATCGTAAGTATTAAAATTTCGACCTACCATCATAATGTTGAAGTTTCGACTTACCATCATAAATGTTACATTTTCGACCTACCATCATAAATGTTACATTTTCGACCTACTGGTACCATCATAATTGTTAAAGTTTCGACCTACCATCATAAATGTTAAAGTTTCGACCTACCATCATAAATGGTAAAATATCGACCTACCATCATAAATGTTAAAATATCAACCTACTATCATAAATGTTAAAGTTTCGACCTACCATCATAATTTTTAAAGTTTCTACCTACCATCATAAATGTAAATTTTCAACCTACCATCATAAACGTTAAAGTTTCGACCTACCATCATAAATGTTAAAGTTTCCTTCATCGCATGTGATTGGCCTAAACGACAACATCTCCAGGCCGATGTACACGTCATCACTGAAGGTGGACTTGATGTGAAAATCGCAGACTATTTCTCTAAAACATAAAAACAAGTTTTTCGATACACGATAAAAATTGTCATTTTGTGAATATTTCTCCCAGTAGAAAATTATTTTTATCTTAATATAATTTCAAACTTACGTGGTGTTCCATTATACAAAATTAAAATTTTCCTTTTTATTTCCTTAATTTTACTATATTTTAGTAATTTCAAAGAAAACTATAAAAAACACTGATTAAAAGTAAAATAATAGTGTATTTTACCGTCGAAGATTTATCTTTTCTTCTGTGTATTTGGGAAGATCCAAAAATATCGGGTTTTCCCCCACGGAGATGGTGCGAACACGATAGGTATCGCATTTTGATTCATCTGGTCAGTTTGGAATAAATTATGTATAGTTTATATACCATTACATCAGTATGGCATTTTATTCCTCAGCGCAAAATACCCCCCCCCCCCCCCTTCCCTTCTAAAATATCCCCGGAGCTGGACCAACATTAAAAAATATTGATACATTTTCTAAAAATGTAACAGCATTAGTCTGTTGAAAATTGATGAAGCAAAAAAATAAAAATAAAAAAATAATTAAAAATCTCATTACACACCCTAAAAAACTGCTTTCAATTAAATATTTCTTATTTCTTATATAGTTTAATCCAGCTAGCTTAAAAATGGACCAAGGTACAAGAGTTAAATTAAATTAAATTTACTCTCAACAAATACTGACATATTCATACTAATTTTGTACAATACGCATACAATCTCTAGTTAATACTAATAGTTTCGCTGTCTGTGTATCTATCTATCTATCTATCTATCTGTCTGACAAGAACGCTCTAGAGAAAACACAAGCAAAAATTCTATCTGACAAGAACGCTATAGAGAAAACACAAGCAATTTAAAAACTCTCACAGTGAAACGAAAGACGAGGTATGACGTCATATAGTAGAAAATAATATCATGCCGGGGAGTGCACACAGTAATATGACGTCATTGATTCTCGAGTAAACATTGAATACAAAGGCAATTTTGTCTAATCTAAGTGGTATGCGTGAAGAGTTTCTTTCATACAATTCTTCGGGTAGGGGCGAAGCCCCACCCCCGCGTAAGAACGTCTGAGCCCCTCCCCCTCCCCAACTCAAAAGAAATTTCTTCATCGATACTCTAAAATAAAATTACCGTGCGGCATCAATTCGGCCAATGACGAAACGGCCCCGTCAAAACGACCCCGACAAAACGACCCCGTCAAAACGACCCCGTCAAATCGGCCCCGTCAAAAGGGCCAGCGACATATGGACCCCGTCATATAGGCTCCCGACAAATAGGCTCCCGTCATTTAGGCTACCGACAAATAGGCTCCCGTTATATAGGCTCCCGACAAAAGGGCTCCAGTCAATAAGGCTCCTGACAAATAGGCTCCCGTCATTTTGGCTCCCGACATATAGTCTCGCGTCATTTAGTTTTTTCCACAAAACGGCCCCCGTCATTACGAGTCCCGACAAATAGGCTTCCGCCATTTAGTTTCTCCACAAAACGGCCCCCGTCATTACGACTCCCGACAAATAGGCTAGCGTCATTTTGGCTCCCGACAAAAAGGCTCCTGTCAATTTGGCTCCAGACAAAAGGACCACTGACACAGTGGCGTAGCTACCGTAAAGCTAGCGTAAGCAAGGCATGGGGGCCCAAGGCACATAGGGGCCCTTTTCCCTCATAAAAAATTAAAACTTTGTTACATATAAATAATTTTAAAAAAGAAAAAGGTTAAAAGTTCCAAAAAGCCCCCCCCCCCCCCACCGTTTCGGCAGTGGGATTCAGTGTTTGTGGGTCAAACAGAGCCCAATCGTTATAATAACACTACAGGCGATATCACTTTGTCGTGCAAGACATTGAGAGAATCAGCCTATAAATAAACTTTTTAGCAGTAGTAGGCAAGCATAATAATATAGTATAAATACAAAATCAGGACATATAAAATACAAAATGTTGCCTTCAGAATATTTATATATTAAAAAATATCCATCGTAAGTAGAAGTTGATCTCTTCGTTTAACTCCTCTGTAGCCTAACGCAGAGGCGTAGCGAAGGCGAGGCGGGGGGTGCGGACCGCAACGGGTGACACCATTTAGGGGGGTGACACCAAAGGCAAAAAATTGTAAAATTTATAGAATGAAATGCCATTTTCCAGATCCATTAGTTAAAGTTAAATAGTCTTCTAAGTACAAATCGAAAATTATATCAAGAGGGGGGGGGGGGTGTGACACCACGACGTAAACGTAAACTATAAAGAAAACAATGCTACATCCAACTGTATTATAAACAGACTGTAGATAAACATCGTTACTATTAAGTCAGCAGTGATTAAAGCTTAAACACGTACGTTTACCAGTATGTGGCATATATATAAATTTTAGGCCTATGTAGGCCGACACACACACACATATATATATATATATATATATATATATATATATATATATATATATATATATATATACATATATATATATATATATATATATATATATATATATATATATATATATATATATATATATATATATATATATGCTTTGTTTCCTGGGAGGGGGTGACAATACGAAGTGCTGCACCGGGTGAGACCCGACCTAGCGACGCCACTGGCCTAACGGCTGACGAAGGGGCCCACTGATAATTTTTGCATAGGGGCCCAAAAATCCTAGCTACGCCACTGCACTGACAATACCGTTTCTGTAGAGACTAAGTCTCCCGGCAAAGCGGTCTCATTGAATATGACATCTGCCAGTGGGACCCCTTCATCAATATTCTTTAGAGTTAGCTTATCCAACACTCTTATGTAATACAACGTATGCATCTCTTGTTCGGCAGGCCTTATTCTTATATTAGTTTATCTATTATAAAATATAGTATGTTTTAATTTAAGGGTCATCTATCTATGACATCCATAATTGAGTCGGTTATAGGCTGTTCCAACTCATTATGTGGGGAGAAGGGTCCACGCTGTACCTTCCTAACTGCAATATGCTTGTACAGGGGCGTAGCGAGGGGGGGGGGGGGCGGGGGTGCGGACTTCACCGGGTGACACCATTTAGGGGGGTGACACCAAGGCAAAAAATAGCAAAATATATAGAGAAAAAGTTGAGGGGGTGGGGGTGCAAATCGAAAGTTTGGGGGGGGGGGGGTGCAAATCGAAAACTTGAAAGTTTGTCCCCGGGGGTGACACCCGACCTCGCTACGCCACTGTGCTTGTAGGTTATCAAAACAAAATGCTGTTATCATGTTAACATCATGAATATCATACCTTTACACTTCTGTGCTCGCTTTTAAGCAACAGATCTTTTCTGTTGTAAATTAAATATTATCAAAACTTTAGAATTGGTGGAATTTAGCTGTTAAGGGCTCGATTTGTTTGTGAATTAATGTTGGTTCATGAATAAATAATTTCATTCGGGCATTAAAAAGAGGTTATGGTGGTATTGGAGGTAGGACACAATGGTTACTTTTATGCCAATAGTGGTCATATCGTTCATTTTTCTGGAGCCAATATGTCGGGAGTCATTTTGTCAAAAGCCAATATGTCGGGAGCCCAATTGCCGGGAGCCAATATGTCGGGAGCCCATTTGTCGGTAGCCAAAATGTCGTGAGCCCATTTGCCGGGAGCCCATTTGTCTTGAGCCCTTATGTCGGGAGCCAATATGTCGGGAGCCGCTTTGTCGGGAGCCAATATGTCCTGAGCCTATTTGTCAGGGGTTAATATGTCGGGAGTCCATTTATCGGGAGCCTAAATATCGGGAGCCCATTTGTCGGGAGCCTATATGTCGCAAGTCAATATGACGGGAGCCCATTTGACGGGAGCCAATAAGTCGGGGCCCTTTTGACGGGGCTATTTTGACGGGGTCGGTTTGTCGGGAGTCGATTTGACGGGGTCGTATTAACGGGGCCGTTTTGACGGGGCCGTTTTGACAGGGCACCAAAATTACCGCCTAATTAATGTGTCTAATCTAAAAAGTGGTTTTCTTGCAATTTCTTTAATGCAATTCTTCGGGTAGTGGCTAAGCTCGACACCAGTGTTTCTTTCAGACTTTTTCCTCCCCGGAGAGGGGTGGGGGTACTTAAAATTTTCGGGGGCGGGGGTAGAATTTTCGGGGAGGGGGCGGACACTGGAAAAAGTATATAATTATATTTCGTTGAATGGGACGGTAGACATGTTTTTTTGGGGGGGGGGGGGTGGTAGGGGTGGGGGGGGGGGTGGGGTGGTTTTAGTTTAGAGAAAATAGACAGCACTATCAACCTAGCGCCCGGTGTATCCTTCCTCAACGGGCCATTTTTCTCGTAATATAAATAATCCTATAATGCTGGCTACAGTTCCTGGTTCAGTTTAAATATTTCATGCGCTCCATAATCTTCTCAAGTTCGGCAACCACTGATTTATCGATTTACCTCCCCGCAATGCTATATTTAGCAAACAAGAAAACAATCTGCAGGATTATCTATCTCTGGGTACAAAGATACGTTGATTGTCTTTTTTGAGAGCCACTACTTTAAAAAGCAAAAAAAAAAAAAAATGATACAGATATGAATGAAATAACAAAATGGTTTAAAAAATACAACTCTTAAAAATAAAAGTACACAAAACGTACAATCGTCTATGAGGTAATATTTCAAGGCGAAGCCGGGGGCCGAGAAGTGCTGGTCAGCAACGAACTTGACAAACAGATGGGCGCCGTTTGTTTTGTACTGGAACTGGTCAGTGCTGCACCAGCTTTTGACTGGAGTGGAAGATGTCTCGTCTTTTCCTGGAATAATAAGTTTCATTCAACTTTCTAATTTGTGAATGTGAGCATTAAAAGGTTATATATATATATATATATATATATATATATATATATATATATATATATATATATATATATATATATATATATATATATATATGTGTGTGTGTAAAGCGAATACACAAATAATTTATACACATTTATATATTTACTTATATATATATATATATATATATATATATATATATATATATATATATATATATATATATATATATATATATATATATATATATATATATATATATATAAACATAATTACCTTTGGGTATGTATGTGTATTATTGTAAATTATTATGGTAATAGAAACGTTTTTGTAAGTGGATTCCTGTGGTGGGTGAATGGTATTGGGTAAAGATGGGGTGGGGATATTGGGGGGTAGATTCTGTAGCTCACCGTCCCTCAGCTCCAGGTAATCCTCACATTGGCCACCATCCCAGTTGGCCAGTTCCATAGAGATGACCTCTACCTGCACCCGTTTGCTGCTGTCTTTGGTCGAGATTAGCCAGGTACAATTTTTGTTGCTGTGGGGATAAAGCAACTCTGTGTATATGCCAGGTACAATTTTTGTTGCTAATGGGATTAAATCAGTGGCGTAGCTACCGTAAAGCTAGCGTAAGCAAGGCATAGGGGCCCAAGGCAAATAGGGGCCCTTTTTCTAAAGTTTGAGGTGGGGTTCAAATCGAAAGTCTGAGGGGGGGGGGGGGTGCAAATCGTAAGTTTGTCCCCGGTCGCCGGGAAGGGTCGTTACGCCTCTGAGGGGCACACTAACACTTTTTGCATAGGGGCCCAAAAATCCTAGCTACGCCACTGGATTAAATAACACCATGTATATGCCAGGTACAATATTTGTTCTCGAGTTCAAACCCCGGGCTCAAGTTTGTAGGACGTCCCTCAGTCCACCCAGTTCTGATGAGGACATAACACGCGTTAGCGAAAGTAAGGGCAACATCATCCAAAGTTTCATTGAAACAGATGAACTCTACTTCCTCTGCCCCTTGAGTCTCAGGCGCGAACGGGACACGATGATAATGATTATGTGCAAATAAAAAAAAAGTTTTAATAAACAAGCTTTTATGTACTAAAAAGTAGAAAATAAATTATAGACTACTATTTAAATAACTATAAAGAAAAGCGTGGTTCACTTTAGTATCTATTGGATACCTTTACTAATGTTTAGGAAGAGACCCACGCTTTTCTTTATAGTTATTTGAATAGTAGTATATAATTTATTTTCTACTTTTTAGTGCATTAGTACATAAAAGCTTGTTATTAAAACGTTTTTTTTTTCTGAAATTTTTTTTTAGTACTTTACATGCTTTTATTTACAATTGAGTTTCATGACTAAAAACCATTGCGCGCCTATTGAAACGTGATGACGCGCTATTGAACGTTTCGATCTCGACAGACTGACGACTGACGACAGAGGAAGTGAGTTAAATTTTAAAAGCTTGTAAAAATACACAACGCACGAATATTGTCGATAGTTTTTAGCATGCTTTATCATTTTTAACTGACACGGTTTGTTAGAACTTGCTAACAAACTCATATAATTAAAAAAAAATGCGATGATTACATCGAAAAATATACTAAAACACCCCATTTGCATTGTTAGATTACAAATACATGAACAGATAATCTTGTCGTTCGCCCCCCCCCCCCCCAACCCCGGATTCCATTATAATTGTATTGTCAAAGCTTCACACTTCGCACTACAACACCACCCCGCCTCTCATCCCCCGCCCATTGATTTTTTCGCCGTCTCAGCGCCGTAGCCGGGTTTAAACTTTGATGTCGTGTCATTTGTGTTCAACGCCTCGCTAATTTTTTTACCACACTCTGACGGGAGTAGAGAGTAACATGGAGAGTATGGAGAGTACGGAGAGTACCGCTGAGTGATGGGTAAACGGCGCGTGACGTGGTCGATGGAGGGTGTTGTCTTATAATCTCCCCGCACAACTTAGGCGTCAATGACGCGAGGCGCAGGGGTGGTAATTAGAAAAAGTGGGGGGTAACACAAAGGGAAATAACACACTAGAAGACAGGGGAGGTGACTGGGAGATAATCCTGATGTTTAATTATTGAAAAGTTTATAATAATAATATAGATCAAATGATAAGGAGGATCTTTTGGTACGTGGCAGTTATAAACAGACTGACAACACAATAAACATACAGTTAGTTAAAATATCTTGTTTTCTTTTTCTCTCTCCCTCTCTCTTTCTCTCCCTAACGGGCCTACATATATATTTATATAAATAAATAAATCAATCTATATATATAATTCTCTTCTGGGAGACGCTAGAAAACAAGCTGTAAGCGCGCTCCCTACCACCCCACCCCTACATGGTCTGGTGAGCTGTGGTTCACGCTAAATGTTTACAATCATAGAGCGTGTTTAGTGACGGCTATTAAGGGCAGATAATTTAGTTTGAAACTATTTTAAACTCAGGGGAGGTAACTAAGAGGAGGCTGCTTTCACGGGGATGGGGTGGATGGGTGTAGGGTAGGGTAGGGGTTGGGGGAAAGGAGGGTGGGTTAGTATCGTTCTTAACGACCTACTGATAGTGTTTTAAAGCAAATATTTTCAGTGGCAGCATTGGTACTGTCGAATTCACAAATTATGAATTACTGAAAAGTAGAAAATAAAACAACTAAATAGCGGCGTATGATACGCCGCGGGTCGGCTCGTAAATATTATTTTATATATGTATGCATCTATTTTTAATTATATGTATATATTTATATATACTTGTATATATGTATGTATATTGTATATGCGTTTGTGTATGCCCATGAAAATAGGAACACGTCGTTAGATGTTAGAGCTTACTACTGTTAACCCGCTAGTCTCAATATTCATTCAATTGAGAATGTTCTAGATTTTGCTAACGATAAGGTGTGACTGAATAGTGTTAGGGAATGAAAAGACCTCTGGCATTAAATTCCTTCTTATATGTGATCACAGATATAGGTGAACTCTACTGTATCTAACCCAAAGATAGCCTAAACGATAGCTTTTACTTTGAGAAATGCGTATGCGTACGTGTACATGTTTGGGCGAACTCTACTATATCTTTCCTACTGACTGAAAAGGTAGCTTTTACTTTTAACAATGCGTATGGCTAAGCGTATGTGTTCTGTACATGTGCGTGTGGGTGTGTGTAAAAAAAGAACAATGAAACACGGTTATTCTATAGTGTGTGATTTTAAAACAAAAACTGACTTCAACAAGAAAAAAAATAGTCTTCGTATTACGATTAAAACATCTGGTATTCTTTTTTTATGCGTAGTTTAAAAAAAATCGTAAACAGCCGAGAGCTGTGGAAAAATCTGGTCATAATTTGTGACCCGTTTACCCAGCAACGGCGTTGATTCTTGACCTCATGTGTAACGTATCGATTTTGTTCAAGTTTTAATTAGATCAGATTATTCACGGGCAAATTTACAACTTAGCCGCTTAACAAACTTTTTTTTTCTAACTTGAAGATTATTTATCATCAGTTGTTGACTTAGTAATTAGGATTTCATTAAGGAATACGTAAATAATTCAGCTCTTAGACCTGACATTCAAGAAGGCTCTTGCTTTTCAGCTCTTTCTCTTTCCCTTTCTCTTTCTCTCTCTCTCTCTCTCTCTTTCTCTCTCTCTCTCTCTCTCTCCCTCTCTCTCTCTCTCTCTCTCTCTCTCTCTCTCTCTCTCTCTCTCTCTCTCTCTCTCTCTCTATATATATATATATATATATATATATTTATATGTGTGTGTGTTCGTGTGTGTGTGTGTGTGTGTGTGTTGGTCTTCTAGGTTCTAGGTCCTAGGCCATCATAAAATGACGATTATAACTACGCTCCGCACTAAAGAATGCATAGCTTCAGTTCTAAAATCTTATAGGAAAGTGTGAATAGAAGACAATACATAATCTGTGTGCCTGTGCGAGAGTACGTGAATGTGTGTGTGGGTGAGTGTGTGTGTGTGTGTTTGAGAAATGAAAAAAAAAACAAGCAGCATTCAGATTTGGCAAATATTTCTTGACATCAACATGATCTTGTAAGATATTTTTTTTTACTTCTATTCATCAAAGCAAGTTAAACGCATTGCAAACTTTTTTTTTAAGAAAGGCCTTTTTGAGAAATCTTTTTTAGCCCTTAACTCTCATCCAAAGCACACCCACACACAAGCAACGCACAGGCACAGACACACATACACTTCAAACACTATACCTACAACACACAAACTACACAGCCACTCATTACACTCATAAACTACACACACTATACACACAGCACCTACTACACACCTACTACACCCATACATTACACACACTACACATATACACTTCTAACACTACACCCACTAAACCTACTACACACATACACTACACACTATAACACTACACACATACACTTCTAATACTACACACACTATACACACTGCGCCTATTACACACCTACTAAACCCATAAATTACACACACTATACAACACACTCTACACACATACGCTACACACACTTTACACACTACGCACATACACTTCGAACACTGCACCCACTACACACATTACACACATACACTACACACTATACACACTACACACTTCAAATACTACAAACACTGCACCCACTACGCACCAACTACACCCATGCATTACACACACTATATACTATACACACACTACACACATACACTTCTAACACTACACCCACTACACACATCCACTGCACACATACACTACACACAATACATACACACATACACATAGTTCTACACCTTCAAAGTGTATTGCCCCTTTAACAATTGGAATTCAACAAGCAACAAGCGCGAGGGGAAACTAATTTATTAACGCTTTGTCTCAGACCCACGCATAGAAACTTGTTAACAGTCTAGGGGCCGGAAGTTGGGTAACGCATTTAGACAGGGGGTTTGTCGTTTTGTTTGGGTTTGGGTTAGGAGAGAAGGAGAATGGGGGTTAATTAGGTTTGGTGAGGTGTAATTGGAGCTGGGGGTGGCGCCCAAGGGACGTGGGGTGAGTACAAACTATTGTGTTCTTGTTTGGACATGTGGAATAGAGTGTCACACACTGTAATAAGGCCGTTACAGTGACATGTCATGCAATAAAATGGTTGTTGAGGTGACACACTGCACCGTAAGAATGCTGTGATGGTGACACTCTGTAAGAGTGGTGGTGATACATTGTAAGAGTTTTGATGTGACACACTGTAAGAGGGTTGTGGTGGTGACACTCTGTAACATAGGTGGCGACACACTGTAAGAGTGTTGTGGTGACACACTGTAAGAGCTGTTGTGAAGGTGACACACTGTAAGAATGTTGTGGTGTTGACACTCTATAAGAGTGCGTGGTGGTGACACACAGTAATAGTGTTGTAGCTTGTGACACAATGTTGTGGTGGTGACACACTGTGAGAGTGTTGTGAAGGTGACACACGGTAAGAGTGCGGTCGAGGTGACACACTTTAACATTGTTGTGTTGGTGACACACTACACGTTGCAAAGGTGCTGCTATTGTGCAATGCGAACAGAACATCTGCCTAAATTTTGCGGTGGTGACACAGTTTCAATACTAGGCCTTCAAGTGACAACCTAATCTAACAGCGAAGTTAATATATATATATATATATATATATATATATATATATATATATATATATATATATATATATATATATAAAACAAAAAAACATCATTTTGTGAATACCCCGTGCCGGACTCATAAAAATAGAATCGGAAAAATCCCAAACTTCCATACAATGAGTTCACGTATAAGCCATGGGGACTTATCAACGTCATTCGCGTCAAGCTATCAACGTCAATTACGTCAACGTAAGCTAATTAATGTATCTGGAACTTACAACTAATTAATATCATCTCAAGGCTGGAGAGCCGGGTGACAGAGTGAGACGTTCATATTGATGTGTTAAAAATCTCCTGCGTCATCAGATTGATGATATTTACGTGGCGGTGTTAGCTGCCGGGGGGGGGGGGAGCCAGGACGGCAGACGTTTTTCTCCCCCGAAACTCTGGTTAACTGATGACACGAAATACGATATTGTCTTCGATCGCGAAGTTCCTGTACAGCCAATCAATACTTACGAAAGTGAAACTGTAGACTATGGTTTAGGATTGATAAAAATAAATCTTAATCCTGTTCGTGCCCAAGACACATGAAGCAGAAGAAGTAGAGTTTATCTAATGTATTGACCTCGGCATATGGAGGGGTAGTGTGGTCAGCACTATGCCCAGCCGCCTTTGTTTCCCTAACGTAAGTTAGGTACCCATCAGAGCTGGGTGGACTCACGGACGTTTGAACCCGGATTCGGACTCGAGATTCTCGGGTCAGCAGCCTAGCTCTCTACCGCTAGAGCCGCCCACTTGATAAAAATAAATAGAAATGTATTATTTTCAGGATCTTTGTATTTGCAACTTTTATAAAGATTTCTAATTGATTCTTCAAATTTTAATTTTTTGTTTTCAAGTTTAAGTTTTTAAACAATTTTTTTAACGCTATTCAACTCTTTCATGTTCATTTAGAACGAAAGTTAGAAGAAACACGCAAATTAGTGTCCGACTAGGTATTACGCATATAAAATGCATTGTCTCGTCTGATCAACAGGAAGTGACGTAAACAATGCGCTAGAAGCATGCGCATGTTTGCCCAGCCCCTTAGACTTCCGCGCACACGGAAAATAAAATCAGTTACCTCCCTTTGGAGACCGCCCTGTCAAAGAGACCGTAAAGACTTGCAACAATCTCCCCACTAAATCGTTTAGGGAACAAGAGTTACGGGCCTTGATGTTCTGCTCTGTATGTTACGGTGTCAATAAAATAGTGGAGCCGCCAGGGGAGACTATGCCAAGTTCTGAACGGATTTGCTAGGGGAGGTAAGGAAGATAGAGAAGAAGCAAGCTTCCCACGATTTGAAGGGAAATATTAAGTGATATGCAATTTTTTTTCTTAGCAGCGTAAACTGCGTCTTTATATTGATTGGATTGTGTGTGTTTGTTTGCATGTGCATCTGTGTGTCCAGCAATAATTGAAAACAAGTAGTTTTATAGATTTAGATGATTTTAGATGATTTCACATTCGTACACAGAGGGGCTTTGACCATAGGGGTTTTGACCACAGCGGGGCTTTGACCACAACGGGGCTTTGACCACAGAGGGGTGTTAACCATAATATATAGATTTTAAAATAGAAATCATAAATTGTTATTTAATTTTAATTTGTGATAAAATTAATACGATTTCATACATGTTTCCTGAGAACTAAATAATAGAAATAAACATGTACTAAAATAAACCGGGAGTGATCTCCCTGAACTTTCTCGAATATTCTAATATAACACTACGTGGGATGGCAACTCGGAATAAAGACATGATTTTTGTTTACTTAAACTTTTAAAAATAGAATAAAATCTGGTAGAAAAAATAATTGCGCCCCAAGCGAACGCCAAAACAATATTAGAGTAGAGAAAATTCTAATGTCTTGTTTCCTAAGTTTTAGAAAAACAAACAAACAAGAAAGCTGAGTTATACTACTTTGGTTAATAATCTTCCAAACTCTTCAAAATGTAGAACATGAATTTAGTTACGTCCAATATTTGTATTAATATTTTTATCAATAAATTTGCAATATTTTACGAAAGTAGACATATAAAATAAGTTAACTATTAAACACTAATATAGATTGTGGAAACGTGATGAAGCGTTTTGACCTACATATAAAAATAAGAATTGAAAAAAAGACAAATAGAAATAGCTTGTGTAAAACTGATGGATATTTTGACCTACTTTGGGTAATCCGATGGGTATCCAGGTGACATCAAGATTTGGGCTGATGACGTGGCGGTTAGCTGGGTGGTCGAGGAACCACACGTGGCGCCTAGGATAGAAACAAAAGAAAATATTTTAGTCCAAAGATTAACATGGAGTTCGAAACCCTCTCAAAATCCGGTATAAATCTGGTCTTTGAGGTAGGTATGACGCTGCCGAACTAACTCAGTTCAAAAGGGTACCTGGATTATATTGGGCGTCTAAAGTAAAGGCGGGTGGGTATGGGGGAAAATATCTTTACTAGATATCACAAATTTAAATGAGATCTATTTCATTTGTTTTGCTCAGCGTCATAAAATTAACTTGTGCACATGCAAAGATATAAACGTTTTTATTATAGATGAATGTCTTAAATGATAAACCAGAATACATTAAAAAATAAACGCTTAATTAATTTCGGCATACGGCAAATGAGCCCACCTTGCTCTGATGGGTGTCTGTATAACGTTCGGGAAAGGAAAGGCGGCTGGGTATAGTGCTGACCTAACCATTCCTTAATTTACTGTTGCCAAAAAAAACATGTTCTTAATCTGCCTAATGCCATGAATCGCCAGGTCTAAAGGGGAATTTTTTCTTTAATAATTTAGCAGTGTGTCAGTCCTTCTTTCCGTCATTCCGTCATCGCTATAGAATCCAGAAATATAAAAGTAAACAATTCATACCGTGTAATTTTCTTATTATATATAGGGTCTATTTATGTAACGACAAAAATGTTTTGATTGTTGACAAAGTTTGTACCCTTTTGCATACGTAAACAAAAGAACGTAAAGCAAATATTGAATACACCCACATTGCTAAAATATATTAAACGGATCAATGTCAATTAATAGTTTTGCATAGTTTCCTAGAAAAAATTGATACATTTTAATAACAGTAGGGCTGCTAAAAACTAATTAATTAAAACGTTTAATAACAAATTTAAAAAGAATTCAACTCACGCTAAATATTGCTATTAAGATGAGGACAAATTGCGCGGAAGGTAGGTAGAGCATTTTTGTTGGAATACAAGGCGGTTTGTTTGATATAGCCGTTTGATAAAGCGTTTGCGTTTGTGTTTTGCTTTTGTGTTTGAGTTTGTGTTTGTGTTTTCGTTTTTGGTTGCATTTCTATTTGCGTTTGTATTTGCGTTGGCGTTAGCGTTTGTGTTTTCGTTTGTGTTTTTTTGTGTGTTTGTGTTGTCGTTTGCGTTTATGTTTGCGTTTGCGTTTGCATTTGTGTTTAGTTTTGTTCTATTCCCAAGTTGGTACACTTAAACAAGATTCACCGTGGCGGAACACGGGTATACAGCTAGTGTCTTATATCAGTAGATCATTTAATCAAGGGACTCTCCTTCTTTGGTAAAAACAAATATGATTTTCCTGCCAAGTCCCAAGTCTTAAAAAACAAAGTTACCTCCCCTAAAAACAGTAGTTTTGGGCGCTACTAACTATTGATCTAACTGATAGTCTTTTTTTTTCTGTAGAGATTCAACAGCCATTGGTCAGACATCATACGAGAACTGGCAGGTCGAAGTGTTTCTAGCCAGACAAGCGGCGCCAGAAGTCATCCATTTTCAATGGAAATTATTATAAAATACATTTTTCATAAGAAAATTTTTTCTGGAATTAAATTGTTTCTTGTCTTTTAGTGTATGAAAAGTGAAAGATTATACTTGTAAAAGAGAACACAAATTCTGTAAATAAAAAAAAACAAAACATTTTTTTATTTGACACGTAAGCCAAGAGTGTTTTATTAGAGCTAGATTGATAGATCGTTCATTGGCCAATCTGCTCAGATCCGCTTAGAGCTTCGTCCTAAGGACTTAATTCTCTATAGAGTGTAGTAGAGATTTTTCGAGAAAACCCTTAGTACCAGAAATTTTTTTTTTACTTTCTCGTATACCAAGTATAGAGGAAGTATTGCAAATCGTGTAAAAAAAAATCGAAATAGAGATTTTCACAAAATCGACGTTTCACACCTCCCTGAGTCGGAAAAACATAGTTTTGCAATTTTGTCCGTATGTCTATGTGTGTGTATGTATGTATGTGTGTGTATATCTGTGAACCCGATAACTTCAGTACCGTTACAGCTAGGTTCATGAAATTTCATATAAAATCTTCATATTAAATTTGTAGTTTTGTATCAAATTTTCAGCGATTTCAGTTAACCGGAAGTAGTAATTTACGCTATATCCGATTTCTCAAAAAAAAAAATCGGTTTTGAAAGGGGGGGGGGGGGGAGTTACAGTTATGATTTGTAATATGGCGTTGCTAAGCAGATTTAATATAGAAAATAACGTCGACAAACTGGATTACTGTAAACGGTTTTAAAATTAATATTAACCGAAATTTGCTGTGGGCAGAATTCGCCCTCTGCAAACAAACACAAAATCCCGCAGACCCGACAACTGTGGAAAAATGTTGCTTCCCTTGAAATATAGACATAAAAAAAAAACAAAAAGAAAAAAAAAACATAGATCTAGTTGCTTCCCCAAAGCAACCAAAAAAATGTAGTTGAAAACATTGTGAGAGCTAAACATAACCAATACAAGTTAGTTGCCTCCCATGTAAATGAAGTAACACAAACAAATGTGTTGCCTCCCCTGTTCTGTGTTCAGACATCAATAGCTTACAATGGTCGCATATCACTTTATCAACAGAAGACTTGAATGCACTGACCTATAGACAACACGTTCTACCCGGCCAACGAAGGTCACATGGTCTCAGTTCTCTAAACGGTACCAAAGCGTCGCCACATTTTCAAATGGAATGACGGGAAAAAATCGATTCACTTTGTGAAGCTCACTTGAAGTTTAAGTATGTGGAAACTTATCGTTAAAACGCGAATAATATAGCCCTTACAGTACTCACCAGCTCCAACTTAAAATGCAGATTGATTAAAGCACACACACACACACAAAGCCACAGAAACACACAGACACTCACACACAGACACTCACACAGACACACACATAAATATATATATATATATATATATATATATATATATATATATATATATATATATATATATATATATATATATATCGACGAATGAAGGAATGGTGTGGTCAACACTATGCCCAGACACCTTTACTTTTACCAACATGAGTCAGGTACCCATTAGAGCTGGGTGAACTCAGGTGTGTTCTGCAGTCCCCAATACGGAGCTAGATTTGAACTCGAGACCGAATGCTCTACCATTCGACCAAGGGGTTTCCTATCTATAAATATAGTCCATGGAGTATATATTATTATACCTAATATATATATATATATATATATATATATATATATATATATATATATATATATATATATATATATATATATATATATATATATACAATTAATAACCGGAACAGCAGTACACTTTTACAAGGCTTAAATAACAATCACTTCTCAAACTGTTCACCTCTCCACCGACCAGACCATTCCTAACTCCATCTGTCACCCCTTCCCCTGCTCACTGCAGATCTCCGTCTTTTGTCGTCTGGCCAGCAGGAAGCCGCTAAACGCCCCAGCCCTTACTCTGGCACCTTGCCATTAAGTACATCTGGTAATAGAAAAGATAACCCAGCCACTGGGTTGAACAAACCCTGCCCAGACAGATCGTGCTAAAACTGGACACCGAGCCAAACTCGTTTGTCTTTTTTTTTCTCTTTTGGCTGTAAAACCTAATCGCAGACAGTAAATCTGGGGCAGAGAGATATTATTTAAACATCTGATCCAGGGGGCTTCTTGTTACCATGTGATTTATAACCCTTTGGCTCTTGCATGTTATTTCTCGATCAAACTTACAGGATAAAAAATACATCTGCAATTTTGTTGCGTAGCCCACATTATATAACAACACGAAAAACTTTCCTACGAGAAAATGTTTGGATTAAACTGTGTGTTTACATTGATAATATAGTTTGGTTTTGTTTGATAAATATGTTAGTTTACTAAAATAAAATAAAATAAAATTAAAAAATCAGTGGGATATATAAGCATGCAACATAAAACAATCGTTTACTCCAGTTTATGAGTGACTACAATATTCCTTCATCATTATCGCCCTTACTCCTTCCCGCCCTAAGACACATTTGGCAGATGAAGTAGAGTTCATCTGTTTGAATGACCAAGGGGAGAGAAAGCTCAGCAATACGCCCAGCGGCCTTATTGTCCATTCCGTGAGTCCGGTACCAACCACAGTTGGATGGACGTAGGGACGTCCTACAGACTCGAGCCCAGGCAGGATCCGAACTCGAGACTTACAAGTTAGTAGTCGTAAGCCGCCCTTTTACATCTATTTCTTACTGGAATTTAAATATTTGCAAAATGGGCTAAGATAATGTATTAACTCTATGTCAATCGTAGAACATCAACACACACACACACACACACACACACACACACACACATGCGCGCGCGCGTACGCATACAAACACACCCAACTTGGATAAAAGGAAAATAAAAAACACGAAAAAATAAACCGGGAGTAATCTCCCCTAAACTTTCTCGAATATTCTTATAAAACACTACGGGGGATGGAAACTCGGGATATAGACATTATTGTTAATCAATTTTTAATTACTTAAACTTTTTAAAATAGAGTAGAACCGCGTAGAAAAAAGAATTGCGCACCATGTGAACGCCAAACAAAATGTGTATAATAGTGCGGAATATTATTAGTCTAATATATAAAGTTCAATTCTGTTTGTGATCGCGGAGAGCGGACGGACGGACGGGCGGACCGAGGATTCCAAGGTCTAAAGTACTTATCGTCTAAATTCATGATTTAAAAATTATTATTGAAGGTGTTGTAAAACAGTTTTTATTTTTCAAACTTTCGGTAATATTGTCAACATGTCCATCAAACAAAATTTAAAAAAATGTATCACCTTTCACAAAAATTTTAATTATTTACATTTAGTGTTTTATAACTCCTTACGTCCCTTGATAAGTTAGAAAAACACAATTACTTCCCTTTATAAAAAAAACAATACACGGGGAGGAAAAAATGTACCTTTTATTACTTTGTTTTGATGTTGGATTTTTTTTTTACATAATTAGCGTGGAT